TCGAGAATCGGCACCTCCGTTCTCGACGCGGAGCGGAGATCAGGTCGCGCGCGCGTTAACGGGAGTTTTCCGCGGAAACGAAATAAAAATGACGGCGCGAAATGTTCTCTTCCGAACAGGTAATTCCCGGCATTTCGCCTCCCTTCGCTCTCCTCCTCGCGTCCCTATCGCTCGCCCCTCGTCTTTCTTCCTCTCGTCTCTCCTCTCTCCTCGTTCTCCGGGAGCGAGCGAGCAACAACAACAGGGCGCTCTCTCACCCCCATTGGACGCCGACGGGGCAACACCTCCCCCCTCCCCCCTACCCCCGCGAGCAGCAGTTCTCGGGGGCGAACGGTTGTCGAACGGATTGCTTTTTGTTCCGCGCCTCCGTGTCCCGTCCTTTGTTTCCGCGAGTCGCCGTGCTGTGAGGAAATGACAAACAAATGAGCACCGTTGTGCATAACGGCCATCGGCCACCCCCGCGTCGTCATGGCGATGCGACGTGACGATCGACGTTTTTAACTCGTCGCTGCCGCCGGATATGCCGGCCTCTTGGTGTGCACGATCGACGCACAATGTGCGATAACGTGGAACGATTCGTAGAGAAGAATCGCTCTTGTCTCGCTGGGTAAAATCTTAAATTAAACGTGTAATAATCGCATGATTAGTTATTTTAATAAAGCTCTTTCTCCGTATTACACATTTAATATAGTTGATATTTATTTGAATAAAAAGTTAATACCTGGCTACAATCTTGACACATCAGCCTTCCGTCTATCTGGCTTGCAATTTAGCCAGAATTCGAAAATGTATCCGAAATCATTGTTCTTGTATTAAAAAATATAATTGTCACGGATGAGTTTCATGAAGCGCCAGAATAGATGACTTTGTTTAAACACGATTATAAAGCTCCATCATCCGATGACTTCGACTCTGGCTTGACCCCTTAAATTTTATTAATAAAAACGGAATATAATATCTATGCATCAAATATTAGCAAATCGATTTTAATTGTCGTTTACGCAGATTAAATACAAGAAATACAATTTGATACAAGAAGTAAAATAAACGAGCATGCATTCACGCGAGTCATTTTCTTTGAGAGCAAAAATTTTCGTCGCACATTAGAACGCCGGGGGCTTTTGTATCAGAAACAAAATGGCGTCTCCACCATGCTTTTCCGAGAGAAAGAGGCGATAACGCGCGTATACGGCCGGGATTGCTCGGCCACGAGGGTCGATCGCGCGTATGTGCCATTCAAAGTCGATGAAGAGGTGAGCCGTGGCGTTTTCGCCGGCTGGACCTCGTAACTATCGATTGTGCTTCAAAGTCGATTGTGTCCCCATTATGTACGCAAGAAGGGGAGAAAGAAGACGGGGTCGAACACGGCAAAGGGAGACGAAGGAAGGGAGGGACGAAGGGGTGACTGTGTTCCGGACGTCGGTGAAACGGCGGGAGAAGGAGAGGTGAAAGAGAGACAGGGACACCCCTAAAGTACGGGTCGTCCAATTGACTCCGCCATATTGAGTTTGGTTCTATGGGCTCTCGAGCACACAGGCTCTTGGAATTGAGACACATTATACGAAGGTCCTTCGTGGAAGGCGCTTCCAGCTTTGGTAACTTCGTTATGGGGTTTCTACGTGAGCAAAATCCAAGCGGCCCGAAGGTATATCACCCGACAGCTTCCGCCTGCGGCGCTATCTACGAGTCCGATGCTCGAGTGTCGATACGGCTAATTAATCGTACACTATTTCACCCTTGGAAATGTCAGCGGAAAAATTCATTATCGTACGAGGAAAATTGCTTGTCAAGAAACTCAAGGAAAAATTACATTGCATTTGAGTACTAATATATATAATAAATATAATAAATATTGATAATAGTCGATACTAATAGTGAATACTAATCTTTCGATATAAATTTTATATTAATATGATGCGCGTACGATATAATTTCATTTATTTTAATTAATGAAAAACACACGTTTTAAATAATTTATTCAATGATACTTGAAAAAAACTTTAATGGTAATTTTATTTTCTTCGATATTTGTGCTTCTCTCTGGACACAATCTTTGTAAGTAAATTAAAAAATTATCGTCGCATAAATATATGATAAATATCTTATTCTTGCAAATCACGATACAGACCACGACATATTTAACGCTCCAGGTATCCAAGCAAACCCCGGGTAGCAAGATCCTCGTGAGCCCCCGACCGCGATATGTATCAAATTATTCTTATAATAGGAAATGGCGGCAACGTTACACCTACCAGGTGTCGTGCTACGAGGCGCCAAAAACGGTGTTCGTCATGAGAATGGCGCGGTGAATAACAATGCATCTTCGCTGCACACAATAATGCCAACACAATGTTCGTTTCTGGCTACAATAGGTGTTGCTTTAATGGGAGTCCGGTTGCAATGGGGTTCCTGTTGAAACCACCTTCGCTATATGATTTTCTCGTGCACGTAAACAGCAATCGCGATCTCTCTCTCTCTCTCTTTCTTCTCTCTCTCTCTATCTCCGGATCTCCGTTGTACGAAAAGAATACGTTGTATTGCTTGTAACGTCAAGATTTCGAAATGCGAAACAGCCAAGTAGCGCGATGCTCTTACACAAGATCGTTTTACTCATCGTTTCGATCTATCGCTAATATCCATCTATAACGGTAAAAAAAAAATTCAAATAAATATCTTGCCCAAAAGGATTATATAATAACTGGCAAATAATGAAAGACACACATACTTCTAATATACTTAAGAAATACAGAAAAAAGAAACGTTTTTCTTAGCGAAAAACATGAATGAATCAAATCGCACGTAGTTTCACTGTATTTTCTTGTAAGATTGCAAGATTCAAATTATATTATAATATTGATTTCCAGTATCGCGCTTGTCGCGTTTTACAAAGTTATGGGCGTCTTTGCGCCATATATCATATAGAGAAATATTGTTTACAACATATCAAAATACACACGATGTTCTTCAGATCCATTGTTCGCAATTTTTCGATCGATGAAATATATTTTTCTATCATTCAATACTTATTCGATCGGAACGAGATAAGAAGCAATAGTAGACGTGTTCACGGATCAGCCGAAAAATCAGCCGTTAGACTCGCTTGCTTCCTACCAAAGCAAGCTTATGCTGTAAGGAAGTACGCCGGGACGCAAATCAAAATGCAGTCGCTACCGAAAGGACACTCCAACGGCTGGAGGGTCCTTTGCTATTACTGTGAAGGACTTCGCAGTGCTTGACGAATCACTCACTAATTGCGTTCGTGACATGGTCCAGAACTAACAAACGGTTCCTTCGCGTGGATATAATGATTTTTTGCTCTCGTGTGCATTTTGTCGATATGCGCGAACAAAATCGGCGCAATGATATATATTATATGTTGCAAGAAGGAAAAAAAGATAGCATGCATGAATAAACCAATTATATTTATGTGTATTTTTTTCTAATCTACTTAATCTGATATATAAGATTGTTATTTTTACGTACGTATACACACTCGCGCACGCAATACATGCCATTAATAATTAATATTAAATATATGTCAACCGAATGAAAAATTTAAAATTTATCTAATAGAATTTGCAATCACACAATTAAAGAATTATGTTTTGAATAAAACGTAGATCAGACTTTCTCTGTCTCTCTTTTGCTATTATTCCCTATTGTCCTAATGATGGATAATCATAGGGCTTTCCTTGAGAGTCTCATTACGAATCAAGGACTTCTTAATGGCTCCTATGAAACTCATTGGCCATTTAACGCCGAGGACACGCCGCGACGTTGAATGATTGACAAGTTCGAGAGCGAATTTTCTTGTCAATTCCATTCCCTCTTACGTATTCATAATTGAAAATTATATATATATATATATATATATATATATATATATATATAATATTTTTTCATATACACAACAATTTCATATGTAATTTTATATAAAACATTATAAAATTCTTTTAAACATATATTTCTAGACACTAGATTAAATTACATTAAAATTTTTTTTCTTTAAATTCTTAGACTGAAACGATCGTGACCGGATGAAAAAACTAAAAATATAATATTAATGCTAATATTATCCATTATATCAATTTTAAATTCTTGTTGCTAACATATATTTAATATATATTTAAAGTTAATATATAGATAATATGACAGTTTTATTAATATGGCATCATATACGCGATACGTGCGTAAGTTTTAACAATGGCAGTCTCTCCATACTTGCGTACGTACGGTCGACACCCTTTACACGTTCCCCTTGCGGAAACGCGACGTCTCCATGGTTACAACATTGAAACCCCGCTGGGGGATGACAAAATGGAGAGGCGCAATACTCGGCCCGACAAAAGCGAAGTAGAATCGAAGAACGCCGTCGACTACGTGCATCCGAATTGAAAGGTCGATTTCTATATACAAAGTGCTCCACGTAATCGCACTTTGCTGATAATGTACTCGCTGATAATTAAAGTCATCCTATGGCAGAGCAATGTAGCACTTTAACAAATCAATTCAGGAAGTCGACTCTTTTTTAAACAGCTATCAATCTTTAATAATGTATTGATTAATATCTTTTTAAATTTGCATAAATGAACACATACATTCATATACAAGTCTTCAGATTATAAAATTTTAATAATACAAACACATAAAACAATACAAACAATATGTATATAAGTGACATTTGTTAAGTCAACAATTTTCTAATCATACAGCTGAGTTAACAGTTATACAGATTATTCATCATTTATTTAACATATTATCAATGTCTTCATTTTGAAACAATTACTATAATTATTTAATAATTAATTTTAAAAATTTTATTATTTCATAGACAACTATTTTTTTCAGGATTTTTAATTTACTGATAATTTAATATTAGAAAATATAAAATGCATGAGAACAAAACAAAATAATCAAAATTAAATAATATTAAGATAGCAATATAATGTGCATATGTAAATTATAATATATGTTATTCTTAGACATGTGTTTTTTTTTAGGATTAATATTTTCAAAATTAAGCATGGAAAGAAGAAGATGCGAAAGAAATATACATACATGTAGGGCGCAATCGTGTTTCTCGTTGCCGACAATGCAAGCCAGGTGAAGATCACATCGTGATTCACGCGATCTCCCGATGGTACCCGCATTGACACTATCTGTCATCGGAGACGCTATGAATTACGACTACGCACGAAACGTGAAATGTCACGTTTGTCGACGTTTACCCTAACCGGAAGAATCCGAACGATGGTATCTATATGTTTCAATGATATGATCATATCTCTTTTTCTCTCTCTTTCTTTTTCTTGAGTAAACAACAATAAAGTATAAAAACTGGTCTTTATTTCTGTTAAAAACATGTTACACATTATAATTCTTCTTATATAATATTATTCTTATATAATATATGATATATATACCAAAAATTATATAAAAGAAATTTGTGCTCAAAAGGTAATCTTAGCAGAATGTAATTTTTTTTAAGCCGTTTTCATTATTTTTTAATTATGGTATTTTCAATTAATGCTAATGCACAATAAGTTAAAACAATATTTAAACACAATATTTAAATTATTACATAATATTCTAACATAATTAAATTATGTTTAGGATTCGACAACAATGTTATGAAGACGAAATATAATAAATTGTTAGAAAACGGGAAGAGTCTTTTTGGTGGCTGTGTGATAAACAAAGGAGGATAATATGGCTACCTATGGCATAGGAGCGGATAGTCTAATCCCGGATGAGACGACGGCGGATGTGCGACGACGACGGAGACGGGGACGAAGGTGGAAGCGAGAGACGGCGCAGACACATCTCTCGGATTACGTCTTAACAAGCTCCACGACGTTCATTTGTCTTATCCGTTGCCGCTAATGCGACAGCAGCTGTTGAAATGATTAATTCGGCGCGAGGACGCCGTCTTGTTCCACTCCGCCCGAGCATTCGATTTTGTCGTCGCAGATGTGTCGCGGTTAATCAGCGCATTGTGGTTAATCACTGTCGCTGCGAAATACAAAGCTGAACGAATAGCTTTCGACAAATGGAAATGCAATTTTGCCATTTGTTATAATAATTTACAAAGTATATATTGATGAGAGGATTGGTTTTCTAAGTAACAGGTCGTACATATTTGAAATTTTTACGCCAAGCCTAATTGATAGACCTTAAATTCAGTTTGATGTGCGTGGATTTTAAGAAAAATTAATCGATCTAATTCAATCTAATTCTAGTGACAATTGTATAATCGTGATTAAATTCAGCACGCAAGGTGTTCCACCGTACGATTGCTCATTGTTCATAAGAGAAACCCTATGTGCGACTGCTCGCATCCCGTTCAAACAAACAGAAGCGAGCGTGCGCGATCTAATTGGATTAATTTTCAATTTGTCGAGGCCACCTGTCGTCATGGTGCACCGATCGCGCGTGCCGATCGATGACTAATCCGCGAGAGCGAGAACTCGCGATTCCAACGAGCGCAGTCGGAGTCGATTATTAGAGTTGCACGAGAGAACAAAGAAGCGCAGAGCGACAATTGTGCTTCATATGCACGGATATAGAGTTACAGGCGCACGACCGGAGAAAATGAGCGGCGAATATTAAGCCGGCGTAGCAAAATGGCCGACAGGCGAGAGAAAAAAAATAGGGACGTACCAGTCTCTCTTTCTCTCGCTCGTCACACGACAAGCGGAGGAGACGCGTAACGAACACTCGGTTCCACACACTCCGCTCGTCGGGTTACGACGTGACGCGGGTCGAAATTTTGCCGCGTCGTTAACGCATGCGTGACGCGCGCCGATCGAAAGCCCCGCCCGGTCATTCTGCCTTTGTTTAATTCACGTGGTATCTACGCCCACGATAACAGTAGTGTAACGAGAGGGTTCTGTAAATCTCGCGAGATGGCTATGGAACATTAAAAAAAATGAGAGTATAAGTCTAAAAATTAAATTTAAGAAAAAAGAAAATAATACAACACAAAAATTTAATTTTATGATCCTGGGCAAAGATTTATTTGATAATTGAATAAAGAAATTATCTGAGCTCTTTATGACAATTAATTATGTCATTTTGCATTCTCTAGCTATATTGTTCTAAAATTCATAGAAATAAAAGCAAACATCGAATATTACAAATATGCAAATTAAAATATTATTGAAAGCAAAATTTGTATTGAGAAGATTCTCTCTTTGTTACATTACTGTTTATAACACGACTAATAATATAATCTATAATTAGTGAGCTTCTAATCATTTTTAACCAGAGGAAAGAACTAGAATCGATTGTATATTTTCATATCATTGATAGATTGTTTACAAGCCAACTTTAGAGTTATTTTTAGCATCGATTGTTTGTGAGTAGACATTCTCTGACATATAGATGTTTGTAAGAAAACTTATCCAATTTCAAAAATTGAAAGATTTTAAAGAAATAAAATAAAAATCTTATTGATGATCCCAATTTATTTTATATTTAAAACAGAGTTTACAAACAACAGAAATTACAAACTTATTTTATTTCTTCGTTGGATTCTTAATTTGAAAAGAATTACAATAGACATATATGAAAATAGAACTAGGGAATAACTCTACAACAACTGGTAGCGTGGCCGAGCGGTCTAAGGCGCTGGTTTAAGGCACCAGTCTCTTCGGAGGCGTGGGTTCGAATCCCACCGCTGCCAATCTTTTTGCACAGGTTTCGTGAAAATTTATATTTTATATAGAGAGATAGTGTTCTTGTTTCAAAATATCATGACATAATATTTATTTAAAATTGTTTGATGATTATCTATTGTCGATAAATAAGTGCGCTTTAAATTATTGTCGATGATCAACTGCCACTAAATTATCTATTGACAATAAATGAGTGTGTTACTTATCTGCATACAAACTGCACCGATAAAACAAAATTTATGAGGATGCCAGACTCTTGTTTTGATAAAATGGCATTTTTTAATTTTAAATAACAGATTTTAATTTTTTTACAATTCAGAAATAACACCATTAGTAATATCTAAACAAAAAGAACATATAAAATCTGAATTAGAAATCATGTTCCATATGGAAGTGTTGATTATTTAGATTGCAAAATATGTGAGTCGGTTGCTCATAATAATTATTTTTACATATTTCAAAATTGCAGATAAAGATTATTACACTACTATACGTCACATACACACATGTATGCTATACATGAGTTAGATTAGAATAGATTAAAATGAGATAGCTCGGGTACAAGTCCATAGTTCAACAACGGCTGACAATTCAAAGCTGTTTTCTTCTTTTCACGAAGCAAAGCAGTAAAGAACAAGAAACTGTTAGTAAACGAATGTAATGGATCGAAACGAAGGCAAGAAAATTATTCGAAAGAATTTAGAGACAATAAAATATTTCTCAAATGGAGCTTCAGAGGTCGTATGTCATATTATAATTATTTAATATATAGCGTTATATATGTTATATATGTTTTATTTAATATTTAATGTGTTAATTATATATGTTTAATTATATGATATATAACATTATATATATTATATATGTTTTATACAAATCACTATTACATTTTTTGATGTGAGATAAATAATAAGTATGATTATTAATTACGTTGACTTATATTTTTTTAAAATAATAATAAGGAGAATATCATATTTGATATAGAGAAAAAAGCGTTATTTTATTTGTATATTATATTTATATGCAATTTATGTGTAATTTGTATATATAATTTATGTAAATCTATAAAAAAATAGATAATTTTAATCCAAAAAATATATCTTAAAAATATAAAAAATTAAATGAATTAAATTGAAACTAACGGATTAAAGTGAAACTAAGGGTGTAGAAAGGTTATATTTTGCTACATCAATACAAAATTAAATTCTCTAACATGTAGCAATTTTTATTCTAATATATTTTAATTTTTAGAAAATTCCTTGAAAATAATGTTATTTAGGGAAATGAGAGAATAATTTAATCTAATTAATCTAATCTAATAATTTTCTATTTTATTCTTTGCAGAATAATTACACTAATTTGCGCGAAGAAGCGGAATTCGATAGACATTCTTTTGTATTAATATATCGAGATCTGTTTATGAAGAAAAATGTCATTGAGATGAACCATTGGAAATTGTAGAACACGTCATGCGACACAAAACATTTTCAGAAATATACTTTTCTGTCGAGGACTAATGAAAATATTGGATCTGTCACGATGGCCTTTCAGTTCAAAAAAATTGATCAGTGATATTCTCTCCATCGCGACAGTTTATGAATCACGTAGATACCAGTGAACTTTGCGAAGCGCTAGATATCACATCTATATTCTGAGTTTCGTTACATCACTTCGCGAGAGTGTAATGCATCAAAATCACATGTGATCAGGATATGTGCTGTTTCATATCTATCAGTAACATCGTGTTCTTCGAGTATAATTAACATTTCATCATCAATATTTCTGTGTTCCAGAATTTGACAGATTGTGTTAGAATAAAATGATTAAAAATATTTGACAATTTTTAATTAGAAATATATATACTACCTCGCAATTACAGATATTATGTTAAAAGATAGGAAAAATATTGTATGTGTTCAAGCAGTGTACAATTAGCAATTGTGATTCTATGAGTGCTGTGTATTTGATTATATTAATCTTTGAAAAAAAACGTTTCTGAATCGAGTATTATTTGTACGTAACGTAGTGTCATTCTCTGATTTGCCCGCGTGACGACACACACGTGTCAGCAGCGTGCGTATACATATAGCGGTCTATCGTTCGAGACTATTGTTTGTACAGAAGACATCTTGAGTGCCGTTACAAGGAATAACAGGTTTTCGCTCAACTTCGTAGATTTTATTAATTCTTGGTCATACTGATCATGATCGCCGCAAATGACAAGATCGTACGCGCATCGACGTCCGAAACGATCAAGCTGCACTTCCTATCTTTTACCTACGGTATATACCTGATAATTAAACGATTTCTCAAATGGATATGGGATCCCAAGAAATTCTTCATGCTACGACAGCGGGACCAGCCGCCGCCGTGTCTGGTCGATAACAGCCTCGGCACGCATTCTTACGTGAAAATCAAGGTGGGAGAATATATTGATTTCTATATAGATCATATATACCATGCATGTGTAATGATCGGATGGCGTAAATATTTTGTACAAGATACCAGCGCGAAATATTATTTGACCTTTGATAACTCGCGATGATAGGTTTAACACAGGCTACATTCGAAATTTTTCATGTCTCTTTAAAGTTGTCCCTCGATATATTTCTAAAAATATTGAATTTTGTAATATAATCGAGGAACTTTATGTAAAAACAAATCAATTTATCAATTTAGTAAGAGAAAGCAAGAGAGAGATTTCTTTTTAATTATTTTATTATTTACTTTTTTATAAATTATAAATTTATTCCATTCTTGTAACAAACTGTCTTGTCTTCAACCATTTAATGATATGAGTCCAAGATATGTATATTTCACCATCTTAGATATTTAAAAATTTGAATTAATATTAATATGTGAAGTAGTATTAATTATAATTCTTATAATTGCAAATTGATATAAAGTCAGCGTGTCACTCTATACAGCCTCACTTTGTGATAGCAAGTGCAAATGACACTCGAATGTTAAAGAATAACATGTTGCATAACTTACATAATGATAAACAGTTATTCTTAATTTAATACGCAAATTTTTGTTTCTTTTTTAACATAATCTATTATAAATTCTGATAATAATTATCGAGATAAATGTAAGTGTGGTTTGATATATAAACGCACAGAAAAATGATAGAAAAGTTTGGTAAACATTGTGTGTGCACTGTGTGCACATATAATACATAAAATGATAATTATTTTATTATAACAATAAGCTATCATTACCATAATGATTTGTAAAGAAATTTTACAATATATTTTCGAATACATTTCCTATTAGTCGTCGGATATTGTAAATTTCTTTACAATAATTAGCGTTTATTAAACAACAAGTGCAGTTCAATTAAGAAATATTGCAATCGATTAACAATAAGAGTTCATCATCTGTCTTTTTATCAGCAAATTTAAAAAAAATACGACGATATCAAATTATTGTTTAGTCTAGAAAGCACAAAGACGGAGAATTCCATCTGTCACAAGGAAAAATTATAAATCATAAGAGAAAGCTAGTTCTTTTTTTACGAGAGTCTGATGTAATTTAATCATTTCTTGATACGTATGTACATGTTATATTATCATAATTACAATGATATCATTATCGTATTTGCATTAAATCATGTATCACGGGACGTAATTCTGTAAGAAAAAGTTCTCGCATTTATAAAGTTTGCTGTTTTAAAAAAGACACGTGCGCGTATTTTTGTATGTATATATTATACGTACAAAAATATGCGCACGTGTCTTTTTTCAAACAGCAAGCTTTATAAATGCGAGAACTTTTTCTTACAGAATTACGTCCCGTATTTATGTCATTTCTAAATTTTAAAAACAAAATAATTTCTTTTTGCTAGTTGATACTTTTGACACTTTTCTTTCACACAGGGTGTTAAATTTCATTATGTAGAAGCGGGAGATAAAAGTAAACCACTCGTGTTATTATTACATGGATTTCCGGATTGCTGGTTATCTTGGAGAGAACAAATTCCACATCTCGCAGAACATTTCAGGTTCTATAATTTATATAAAATACTGAAATACACTATATAATACACTATATAATATATTAATATATATATATATATATATATATATATATATATATATATATTACATCAATTTTCTTATTCTAGGGTAGTGGCTATAGATTTAAAGGGATTTGGCGATAGCGATAAACCGTTGAACAAACGATCTTACAAAATCGAAATTTTAATAAATGAGTTAAAGCAATTTGTGTTGACTTTCGGTGTAAAAACATGCAGCATAATCGGTCATGATTTAGGAGGACTTCTGGGATGGTACATAGTCGCTTTATATGGAGAACTCATTTATAAATTTGTTGCCATTTCGAGCCCACACCCCAATTTCTATTGGAATAGAGTATCGAGAAATTCTACGTTAGATGAAAAGTAAATGTTTCTTCGATATTTATATTTATTGCTATATATTTATATTTATATTTGTTGTTAAAAATTTATATAAATGCTTTCATCAAAATGCTTTTTAAAATGTGTGAAATTATATGTATATAGCAAATAATGTGATTTTGCAGATGGATACATTTTAGTAGATTACCATTTCTACCAGAGATAGATGCCCTTAAAGAAGATTTATCTATTATTAACGAGATATTTCAGCATCTTCAAATATCTCAGAATGGCACAGAGAAAAACTATGTTGAGGCGTATAAATATGCCTTCAGCAGGAAAGGTAAAAATAATCTTAGCTATTAAGAACTGGTCTCTCCTATGACACGAGTGTTATTTTTTGTCTTGACATTTTCCATATTTAAAAACCATATTAAAATCTATATTAAAATTAAATTAAACTAAATTCCATATTAAATAATGTTTTATAGAGGACTGGACAGGACCAATTAATTATTATCGCAATCTTCCATTTACAAGATTAAATATAGACAATGATGCACAAATTAATAGCAAAACGCTACTAATAGTCGGAAATATGGATCCTTTTGTAACAATAGAGAATATCATCCAAAGTGCTGAACATGTAGAGGTGTCCAGGGTTAAGATCATATCAGAGGCGCAACATTTTCCACATCAAGAAAAACCAACCGCTGTAAATGAAGCGATCATCAAGTTTCTGATAGGCGAGTTTTATTTTAACTTTTGTCTCGCGTATACAATTTTTCTTATAAAAATTATATTATTCAATGAACAATATAAAATCTTAATATCTCATATGACAAGAGAATAATGTTTTAGGTACAACATGTAACTTGCCACCTTCAAAGATAGCTTCAAAGAGTCTTGTATCCTCCTGGTTAGGATCGTTAAGTAATACCGTTAAGTATGGCAATCACATGATTGACGCTGTGCATAAACGGACCAATGATGTAGTAAATGTGTTACCCACCAAAGCACTTTATTTGGGTCAAACAAGTTAAATGGAGGAGAGAGTGTTATTTGATATCAACGTCATATATTTAAACTTTACATCTTTTTCTGAAAAATCTGGAGCGAACCTACCTATATGCATCAATATTGACATATGAACTTCTTAAAAGGCTGATTTATGATCCTATTTATTATTTCCTTTTTACATATAAATATGTCATTACAATGAAAATTACAATTTTTGTGAATGATAAAATCTCACGGTATGAAAATTTCATCACATTCACTTTTAATATAAGAGATATATGTTTCGACTTATTTTTAATTTCTATATATATATATATTTTTTTTATAAAATATGTATGAATAACTAATAGAACAGAATACATTTTTTACAATTGCATACAATTATTATGTAGAAGTAATAATGTTCTAATAAACAACATTGTAAAATTATAAACAAACTTGGCAAAATTTTGAACATTAGTAATGAAATATTTTTGATAATTTGATCATTAATATTACGATTATATGTGATATATAATCATATTTTTCATTAAATCTATAACATAAATACAGAAAGTATATTAAAAAAATAAAACAATATAATAAATAGATCTTATTGTATGTTATAATATTAATTGTATATATTAATTAGATATTACAGTAATAAATAAGCAATATATTTTGCTTTATATTCGAATCTCAAAAAACATGTATATTAATTGTAAAAAAATTGTCTTTAATAATTTAGCATTAAAAAGTGTAAAAAGCATAAAAAGATAATGAACAGTTTTGTGAAATCATGCATTATAAATTAATAATGTAAATAATGTAAATTACGGAAATATACAATTTTTATGTAAAATTTGAATTACATGAAAAATATCAGTATATCATATAACATACATACAGAATAATAATAATTGTAAAATGTAAAAATTATTCCTTCTCTTTTTATCTCTCTTTCTTTAAGTATAATTTCAGTCAATTATAATATTTTAAAAAATATAACAAATTATCAGTCTCTGATTTTTTTGCATAAACACTAGAGTTGTTAGAATAAATAATTTAATGACAGATAGAATGATAGAATAACTGATTGAATAAAATTGTTTGTAAGATATTTCTGTATAATATTCGAATTATACAGAATTACAGTTATAAAAATTATTGTACAATTCTCATCAATGCACATAATTATATCGATGTATTTGCTTTAGGTTTTTTCCTGAAAAATAGAATATTTACGTGTAAAAGAATTGTATTAGCAAAATTATAAGATTGATGGAATTATCTTATAGAGTGCATACTTTCCAAAGTTTTCACTATCTTCTATTGTCTCTGGTAATTCACAGTTCATCGTTTCTGGTAAAAATAAACAGAGTACAGCGCCTAATACTGGTCCTATGGCAAATATTACTGGAGGCAGCCAAGGTTGAATAGTTCCCTGTGAATTATTTCATTTCTTTAATCTTCAGGAACATAAAACGATTTTTATTTATAAATGTGACAAACCATTGTAGCAATGTATGGTGCGATTATACTTCCAATTCTGGCGGAAATACTTCCCAAGCCAACGCCAATATTTCTTACGACAGTCGGAAATACTTCACTGCTATATAAATATACTGTGGGAAAACTAATTGCCATACCCACAAGGCCTAATGAGGCTAAAAATATCCGAGCGCTTGCATTGGTTATCAGAGTTATCAAAAGTAGGCTAATACCGGACAGAATATTCCCTCCTATCAAGATTTTTAAACGAGAAACTCGTGATATCAAAAAGAGAACTATTACAGTCCCAGGTAATTCCATGGCAGCTGTAAATGTCATAAATGTTTAATCAATATGCAAACACCAAATTTTTTATTTAATCATAGAATACTGTCGGATTACCAGAAATTGCGACGTTGATAAATATATCGCCGTCGAGATGACCCATGTATTGTGCTAATCCGAAGAAACAGGTACCGCAAACGAACCAGTTGATACTCACGCATATAGTCTTCAGTCTTAGATTCGGAGTTCTAAATAAATGCGTGATATTATATTTTTCCTTGCTCTTCGTAACTCGATTTGTTCCTTGACTCTCGTAAGTTTCAAGGGCTAATTTCACATTCTCTACCGATATCTTATTTCGTTCGGCAGCTTTTAACAAAATCCGTTCTGCTTGTCTCGGCTTGCCCATGGCTAGTAACCATCTTGGTGATTCTGGAATAATCCTATTTTGCGAAACATATCTTAATAATTGATTTACTGGAATTAGTAAAATTGACGAGTCTTTCGATTTTACTGAAACCAATTCTTATTCTAGTTTACAACAACTCATACATAATTTATGTACGTACCAGTAATACGTTAATAAGAAAATTGATGGTATCGAGACAGCCATTTGAAAACCAGACCATGTGCGTGTCAAATAAGATATTAAGGGATTCATTAAATGTCCAAGTAGAAAAGGCACGTGGAACAAAACCGACATGATCGATCGCCATTCAATTCCAGTAATCTCCATAACTGCGTGATTAATGAACTAAGTTGCACAAATAATTGTATTGTAATTTTTTATTGTGTCCGACTTACGTAAAACAAAACTAACGAGCATCGTTCCACCAGTGGCTAAGGCACATATGAATTTCAGTATTAAAAACAATTCGTACCACGGTGCGAATGCACTCGCGAATCCAGTTACCGATTGCAACGCGATTGCAATCATCAACGGTTTTTTTCGTCCAATTCTATATAAAAATACGTATATCGATATTAATATTGAAAAAATATAATTATGTTAGTATATTTTATATCGACTAATTTAAATTATAGTCATTTTTCAAATTATAGTAAAATAAATTCAAATTATAGTGTAAATACCTATCGGCCATTGTACTAAAAATTAAATTGCCAATAAGCACACCGAACATTGTGCAAGATTGTGCAAAATTTGCCAGTTGTTCTCTATCACATATTAAGTCCCACTGAAAACATTAAAATACAATATTTAACACGTATCTCTTTATTGCTTCGTTTGGAACATTTTCTCAAATTATTAATGATTATATACGCAATTAATTAATGAAATATTAATATTAAAAGAGATAAAGAAAGAGAATATCAACAATTATAACTTACTTGCGTTATAATGCTGTCTCGAAATATTTTTTTATCATATTTGAAGTGTGTACATTTTTCTACAGTGCCGTTTCCGATATCAATTGCACATTTCATTATCATAGACTCATTAGTTACTACTGATAATGGCGCAATGCATGAGAAATTGGTAGGCGGAGCAAGAAATACAATAGAAAGTTGATGCCAAGCTACCGGAAATTTGACGAGAGAGATTGCCACCGCGATCACGATGTGCCATGGACCCATAGATCCCATGGCTTCTTGAACGGTGTCCAATGGTATGAGACCTAAATAGAAAAAAATATATATGCATAATACTTGATATATAAAGCAAAAAAATATATTTAAATATATATACAACTATGGTAATGCGTATTTTTTTTTTTTTTTTCAAAATTAATTGTTCGCGAAAAAATTTTTTGGTTCGATTCCCGATTTCAGGGGGGCAAAGAGGGTGTTATAGAAGTCTCAAACCAAGAGAATCTATAACTTGGCATATACACTAAGTAAAATATATGTATAAATGCCTTGTGCACGTCTTAAAAAAATTTTTTCGCGAACAATTAATGTTTGAAAAAAAAAAAAAAAAATTTACGCATTACCATCCGCGTTTTTAGGCTCTTATCGCTCGTTTCATAATTATCATATTGTTAAATACATAGAGCCGTATTCTTTATCAATTTATATATACAACTATGTTACTACAAAGTTATTCATAAAATACAAAACATAGCATATTTTACAAAATGCATTAGCGTATATACAAAACTATTTTATGCATTTGTCAATCTAAAATTGACTTTTTTAATCATTTACTTATCACTTGATAATAAGCAGGAGATATGCGAAACAATGAATTATTAATAATATTTTAATGTTAGCTTTATCGCATGTTAAATGTTCGATTACATTAGATTATAATTGCAAGTTTCATAAATCTGATAAGACATAATACTTCTAAGGTAAAATGATATAATAATCCTGATTCTTTTAATAAATATTACTTTTTTAATCAAAAAATGTTAGATAAAAAAATGTCAGCTATTAAAAATGCTAATGAAAAGCAATTAATAATATGTAATATTTATTAATATTAAAATTATAATATTAAAAGTAATTAATATATTAATATAATTTGTTCTATTCTAGAAATATTAAATTTGACAAAACTTTTAATTTCATTGACATGTTTATCGTATTCATTGTACTCTTTAAAAAATACTGCAATTAAAAAATTGTAGAAAGCGTTTGCAATCTTTTTGAAAAATGCCAGTAATATAGATTCGTGGAAAAATAATTATTATCCTATTATTATTATTGTTATTATTATCATACATATCATATTTAAAAAAAAAAGAAAGAGAGAGAGAGAGAGAGCAAGAGAGTAAATTTATCATGTTTTTAATTACTTATCAAATTAATAAAATTTATTTCTCATTTATTTCTTAATTACTTATCAAATTAATAAAATTTAATCTCATTTATTTCTAATTTATTTCCAATTTATTTCTCTATATTCCAATCCAAAATACATGGAATAAAACTTTTTACATTTCTACCACTGTACTTTATGCAAACAACTACATTATCTCGAGTATCAATATTCGATATGTGTATCCGATTCTTTACACAATAAACCGCTATAAAAACTCTTTGAATGATTAAACCGGATTTATATTACCTAACATAACATAATTACAGATGTCATTGTACTGCGCAACAGCACGATAGCATGCGGCGACAGAAGTACATTCCTGTGTTGCAATAACGGTATATGTCGTATCAGCGATATATCTGACATCATACAATACATGCATACTGTAATAATAGCTGTTGCCTTGCGGGAAATCTTAGTGTATCAAGTTTTCGAAACCATGAAAGAATTATTTAGATCAGTATTTCATAATTTGAAACATTATATATTTCAACAAATTTAAAAAAAATATCAAAAACTTTTTTGTGAATTAGCTATTCATATATATATATATATATATATATAATTTATTCTTTTATTGTTATATAAACTTTATAAAACATTCTTCATTTAAGAAAATTAATCGCTTTTTATTTTCTTACTATATATGTAAAATCTTTACATCATACATGGATTATTCTCATTTTCAGCGAGATGTTTTAATCTCGATGTCATGATTTCATTAAAAAAAATTGTGCATAGATTATATTAGTGCTTGTTTTTTATTGCTTTCTGAGAGAAATTTAAAATGAAAAATATTATGAATACAATTTAAATTACTCATTAAATTACATAACATATCAATTTAAATTACTCATCATAAATTATAATGCAGTAAATATAGCTACATAACAATAAATAACAATATATTACGAAAATATTATTGAGACTTGAGTTTTAAAACATGTAATTACGTAATATATAAAAATAATAAATGACACTTCGACGAATTTGTCACATTAATATTAATATTAATACTGCGATTTCCATGCAGTTAAGTTTCGATAAAAATATTTAAATCTAGTTTACAAAAAATCTAAATTTAATATGTATTAAGAAATTAATATCTGTATGATTATGTAAGATAATTTTAATACATTTGAATTTTTTTACGATCGTTTTCGATTCAAGAATGTGCAATAATTAAATCTTTGAAAAGAATTTAAACTTTATTTCATTCATTTCATCTTTTTCTTCTTTTCTTTGTCATCATAGGAACACATAGGAGATATTCGCAAAACATTAAATATAAATGAGTAAGCTTATACAAGGTAAGCAAAATATATAGTCGTATATACATCACGATCGTGTGTGTACATAATGAGAAACGCAGACGTAATCTATGTGATACATGCATATTATAGACGTCTTGTATTTTACGAGGAACATACTTTGTACTGTAATTTTTGAGTAATATATCTGAAATTACAGGAATAAATTCTTTTTATTATTAATTTTATTATTTGTGTGATTCATAATTCTTTCATAATTCTCATACTATATCTCTTCCAAGCAAAATTAATAGCAATTAGGTGCTCTCCTTATCCGTGAATTAAAAAAGTGTGCAATGATTACAATCCAAACGCATTGTAAATCAAAATATTAATATCAATTAATAATAAACATTATTGTTTTTTTCCAAAAACAACATTAAAACAATAAATATTGCAGATAAATAATATAACATTAATTACCCATTTCGCGCCAATTTTTCTCGACGTCACGTTGCATTCTCTCCTCGGTTAATTTTTTTAATATTAAGAATCACAATTAAACGGATGATTATTTGCTGTAAGATGTATAAAATAAATATTTGACGTGCAAAAATATAGGTGAGCAATTTATGTAAATTTTGTCATTTTTGGTACAAAATTAGTATTTTCAATTATTTAGCAAAAAGATTTCGTTTTTAAATAAAAGATCTCGTTTTTCCTTGATAATAATCGAAAATACATTTAGATCTATAATTTAAATATATATAGAAAAATATCGTACATCATCTATTAAATACCCATAAACATGATAACGTTTAAAAACGTCTTAATGACATTAATGGCATATTATAATGCTATTATCATTAAAATTAATGTCATTAACGTATTATAATGTTATTAGCACGTATTATAATGTTGGGTATAATACGCGATATGACAATATATAATATGCTATATTATAATTGTTAGTTCATCTAAATATATTTGATCAACAATTATATATAAGAACTTTTTTTGCGACGTCCAAGCATTCAATGTAATTGACATTACGTATATTAAGGAAAAGCAATTAAGAGTGTAATATTTATTTTCATATAAAGAATTAATCTACTTCAGAAAATATAAAACATTTCTTTTTAGAAAATATATACAACACATACTTTTAATTCTAATTATGTTTTCGTCTTTATAGATTCGTAAAATTGGTAATAAAATGTTTCTTAAATTAAAATAAGAATTGGAGTTACAGATAAAAAGAGCGCATCCTCTACATAAAGAAGAAAGAATTTGAAAAGAGAAGAAATAAATCGTGACATAGATTTCTTGACGTTATTCATAGATTACATATAAAGTTGTGAATCGGACGATTAATAACAGAGATACATATTTGATTTTCCGCTAGATTATACATGAAAATTAAGTATAGTACATAGCGGTGATGCAATTCGGAATACACGTGTGTCATACATACACGGACTATTTTAACATATATTTAGTGCGCTCGCCTTCCGATCAAGTTTTGAAAGTAAATAATTTACGCAGATTCGCATCAACTTACCTTTCATCGTTTTGGGCGATCGCTATACTTTCTTTTCGCCAACTGCAAATTTATTTTTGGGTCACAAAATGACACGCTCTCTGTCTCCGCAAAATTACCGTGTCGAGTGCACGAGAGACCGAAGCGAACTAAAAACAGATCTTAAGTTTTGTTATTCTACCTTATCGACAAGAAAAGTAAGACAGATGAGATTAAAGAAAAATTCAAGACACGAATACACACCCAATCATTATCTATTTATTGCGCATTAATACTCCTTTTTATTTGACAGATAGTTGATCTGATCTTGTTATAAAAAGATTTTTGCAATATGTATTATACTTAGGAGTAACAGAACTCTATAGACTATATTCCTAATACAATGCACCTTTTTACAATTTTTATATAAGTAATAACATAAATGTAATAACATAAAAAGATGTACAATAAGATGTTCTTATATTTGATATTAATTAATATCAAAAAAACTTTTAAATATTTGATTAATGAATTAAATTAATAAATTATGATTAATAAAGATTAATGATTAATGATTAATATTACATATTGATTTTAAAACTCTGCAAACAAAAGAGTTCATTGGATTTCTTTACATACATTTTACAAAATTTTTTGCATATATTTATCGAGAAAACTTTTTGAGATATATATAAAAATGTAAAAAATAAACATAAGTCCGATATTTTTTTATTCATTCAAGAATTCAATAAATTTCTTATATTCTCATTAAATTGCTAAAATTTGTGGTTATTAGTTACAAAAATTTTCATAACCAAGAGAATAAAATTTTACTTGTCGAATGCGAATTGGCTGAGTTTGCTGCTCAAAGATCGTTTTGCTTCGTTACTATTTTCGTTATCTGGACTTGATAATTTTCGTTTTTTATTGAGTTCTAAAGATTCAACCGCGCTATCTGCGTTATTTGAGTTTGATGTCTCCTCTTTGTAACGCGTTAAACCAATTTTAGTTAATTCGACGACATTTATTTCAGGGAATTCTTCCTGCAGATTTTTTCTATTTTTGGCATACCAAGTAACAAATGATTCTTTCCTAGATTCAGTCTTTGATTTCGGTTTAATAGGCACCACAGTTTTTACAGATTTCTGGGGTTTTTCTGGTAAACTATTCAAACCAGCTAAACCTATATATAATGTGAAAATAAGTAAATATTTTCAGTATAAAAAGCAAAAATATTTTAGAATGAAATGTAAAAATTATTTACCTTTTGGTGATAAAGATGAATTTCCAGCTTTTAAAAATGGATTTACTCTTTTTAATGTTTGACTCATGGCCAGTGGTTTGATCTCTATCTCCGGTTTTTTAATAGATGGTAGGAGCACATCATTGTCTTCTTGATTATTAATACTAGAATCATCATTGCTTGTAAAATTATCTTGATAATTTTCCGTCTCTTCTTCTTCTTTTGAATCCTTAGAATCAAATTTTGTATCAGCAATCGTTTCCAATTTCTTTGCCAATGCCGTTTTAGACACACGCAGGGCATATCGTATAGCCAAATCTATCACTTTTGTTGATGCTATTTGTTCACAAATATCCACTGCACGATATTCCAAATTGCTTCTACAGGCAAGCTGATTGAAAGAAATAAAATATCAACAAATATAAGAGTAAAGCTATACTCAAGAGTATTAGAACAGAAATGAACTATTACTGCTTAGTGCTTACTGCTATTAAAGTTAATAACGCTTCAGTTTCATCTGATGGATTGGTTCCTATCTCCCACAGTTTACGTTCTTCCTTAGTTTTCTCGGATTCCGGTTCGCAAAGAGGTGCAGAAAAAGATACCTCAGTGATTATCGGCAATGGAATTGTCGGTGGATAATAACTCCCTTTACAAAGGATACATCGTATATTCCGTTCTCGTTCACTTACACCAATTACGAAATAGTGATCAGCTTTACCTTTATCCTAAAACAGAACTTTTAGTTATATACATTGTCTTATGAAAAACTCATTAGCAGTTTGCATTACTTGTATATTTGTATCACATAGCACTCTCCATTGACAAGATCTCTTATTGTATATTCTGACAATATCATCAGAATCCACTACAACAGGAGAATAAGCATCTGATAATCCCAACCACATAAGCTCTGATGTTGGTGAAAGTGGGACTGTTAAAGTTTGACTATGTAAATGTGCTCTCTGTATTTGTATCCATAGTAGATTTATATTCTGATCGCCTGCTGCACCTTTTTTGCCAAACAAGAAAAAATATTTACAATTAACTATTAATTTTTCGTCATGTTAGTTAATAAAAGAGCTTACCAATTCCAGCATGATAAGCTACCAAAAGACGATTTCCTAAACCATTCATTGCAACTACAGGTCCAGGCAAAGCTAAAATTTCACGTTGTGTTCCTCCTATCATAAATATTCTTAAATTTCTTCTAGATGTTGCTATTGCTACAAAATTATCACCAGCTGCTAGACATTCACTTTCTTCTCCTTCTGGTAAGTCTAAAGACCATTCCTTATTTCCAGAACCCCAACCTAATATACATAATGAAACAACAAAATTTATTAAATTATTTGGTAAATAAATAACTTCACTTCTCTTATTTTATCATTATCATATATATAATTATATACATAATAAGTAACTAGCCTTGTAACACTATCACAACAATTTTACTAGGGCTATCATCAGAAACTGGGCAGCTTAGAGCAAGTGCTTGAGTAGATAAAGCAGCTATAGAATGCCGTAAATAATTATTTATATGCATACTGCGATGAATCGTAGCATCATGAAATTCCACCTCGATACTGGAGTTTTCCTCATCCTCTGATGTAAAACATCTAACCATTCCTACATCATTCCACATCTACAAACGCCGTACCAAACCTAAATTTAATTCTGTGGAAATTACTATAAGAGTATACATAAAAATATAAGCATTATTATTATATTGTACCATGAAATATGATAATAAATGAGAAGGTGTTGATCCTGGTTGAAAAGGTGATTGCAACTTTACATTGGGCATAAAAGCTTTAGTATTGTATGGAAGTTTTTCAGAATCTAAATCAGAACGACTTTTTTGATCATCTTCCAGATTAACAGATGCTTTAATTTTGTTCAAAGATATCACATTTTCTCCATCATCATTATCATTGTCCAATAAATCAAAATCATTTTCCACTACATCTTCATTTTTTTCTGAATCCTTGATTGCTTCATTTTCAGGTTTATTAGAACTTATCTAAAAAATTATTGTAAAATACTCTAAATAATATATATATAACAAAATCTTAAAATATGTATAGACACATGAATATATTATCATACCACATCAATACATCCAAGTTTTCCCAATGCATCGCAGAATGCAATCTCATTGGAATGATCTATATGCCATACTAATGCAGTGATTTTAGTATCTTGTTCATGCTCCAGATATCCAATCATCTCTTTAGTTTCTACATTCCAAACAATTATTTCTCCATATAGTGAACTAGTGGCAATACGTTTACCACATTCAGAAAATTTGCAAATGCTAAGCTCCTACATAAAAACAAGAAAATAATAATTCACTATTAATTACTAAGAAAATAGAAGCATTAAATCAATGGCTTACAGTCTTTAAAGTAGGAGATTTCAATCTATACAATTCTTTCCAGGATAATCTCTCCACTACAACTATATCTTTGTTAGATGGATATGCCAGACAACTCCCATCTGTACATTTAAAAGAAGGCGTGCAATATGATTTAGCAGTAAAAAAGGAGTTACATTTTGGTACAATATTATTCCAAATATGTATAGTACGCTTTTCCTCAATACTCCATATTCTAATAGATCCATCTGCACTAGAGGATGCCTAAAAGTATTAATTTTATATAAATGATTTAAAATATTTCTTTCATCATTGATAAAATAATACCTTATCCTTAAAAAATAATACCTACCACAAATTGTTCCTTTGGATCTAGAGACAAGCCTAAGATAGGCGCTGTATGACCTTCTAATTCTGTACTGTCTGATGTATTAATATTTGTAACATGTATCCGCATATCACTTAAAAGAAAAAAATTAAGTTATTACAAAAATACTAGTCCATTTAGTACTGTAAACAAATATAAACAAAAAATTTCATTGTGTATGTCACATACCAGGCACCAGATACTATCAAATTACTATTTTTTGTTGTTGCTAATGTTGAAACTGGTGCTGAAAATCTAGTAACTATCCCTTCCTTTTCCAAGTCAGGATAAGTAAGTATTTGCACTGTATTATTGTCATTTCCCACGAAAATTTTACCATCCTTAAAAATAAGAACTTTTGTTAGAAATAAAGTTACTTGATTTATGTTTAAAAGATCTTCAAAATAATTTTACAAAAAATAAAAATATTCTTAGAGATATTAAAGTATCAATAATTTATATCACTAATTTACAATTATTATAATTACTTTTGAAATAGCAGTAATAGCTTGCTCCGAGATGCAAGTAGTGGCTGGATCATCATCCATTAAATTTAACCAGGACCTAACATCCCCATCGCATCCACAAGTGATAAGTCCTCTCCTACAATCGCAAACATATAATTATCATTAATAATTCTGTGACAAATTATATACATATGCATAAATAATAAATATGCAATATAATGCAATATTATTTACTTTTCGCCCGAATAATAGCAAACATCAGTGTGTCCTTCTTGATGGGCATATCGCATGGGTTTCCTTATTAAAGGCATGTTCAGCTAAATTCAAAACGGGAACAATATTGAAATATTTATATCTTTCGTATCAATCTTTTACTATCTATATATAAATAACTTTAAATGTTTTATATTTTGTCGCGCTATATAAAATACGAAATATACAAGTGCTTATATACATAATAACCAAGTATCATTACACACAATCACACCCGTTGCGCGCCATTTTATTTACACGTTTCTTTTGCTTCAAGTGCAAAGAGTAAACAAAAGGTGTAGATAAAAAACATTTAAAAACGTATTTTTTAATTCAGATACATATATATAAAAACTGTAGAATATATAAATCTCAATAAGTAAATAAAAATTAATTGCTTTTCTAAAAACTCTCATAATATATGATATATTTGATCCACGATTAAACGCTTAGGGTTTTTTTCGAATTGAAACGTTAGATTGGCACACCTGTCTGTGCGCAAATATTTTGCGGGCAAGTTCAGTAAATTTTGACGGTAAGGAAGGCAACCTCTCTTTTTCATGATGGCCGAGAGTGCGATAAGGATTTTGTGAATTTCTCTCATCATAGTATTTGAATTTCTATATTAGAATGACCATGATATCCAAAGCTGCGGTAGGCATTGCCGTCGGCATCGCCGGAATTTTCGTCGGCTATTGTTTTTATTTCGATCAGAAACGCCGCAGCGATCCTGATTTCAAGAAGAAACTCCGCGAACGTAAGTTTGGCAATTTCTTTTTTTTCACCTGATTCATATATTGATGATTTATATATTTTCATCGTGTAATATTTCATCTTAATGACACATGTAAATTGACATTTTTAAATATACCGACATGTTTCTCATGAAAAAATGTTGACATCTTAATACAATGTGCAATCTCCATTATTGCGATACAATTAATCTTATAAGATATATTTTCTATATAGATATCATTTATGGTGTATTATAAAGTTTATTATTGTGTATATAATATTGATTGATTTTGTATTGTAGTTATAGTTGTAAAATATATATACAATATTATTTTATAATGCTTAAAATTATATGAAAAAGTTTTATTTATATTATTGTTAAAAAGTTTAGTCTCAGTTAGAAAAGCCTTAGTCTTGTTTTACTTACAGGTAGAAGAGCTAAGAAACAGGCCCAAAAAGCTTCTTCAAAGATACCAGACTTAAGGGATCATGAATTGGTACAGAAATTCTTTTTGCAAGAGGTAAAACCTTTTGACACTTTTATTAGATTGTATATACAATTATAATTTTGATTTTAAAGTTTACAATATTTGTTACATTGTTTGTGACTTAGGTTCAACTTGGAGAAGAAATGCTTGCTTGTGGCGAGATAGAGGGTGGAATCGAGCATTTGGCTAATGCAGTAGCTGTATGTGGACAGCCAGCTCAACTGTTAACAGTCCTTCAAAAGACTCTACCGCCACCAATTTTCCAGATCCTAGTGCAGCGGCTACCTATGGTTGGCCAGGTACAAAAATTTATGCAAAAAAAAGGAAATTTTAACCACTTCATAAGGTAATATTTTTTTTATTTTGCCTGCTTTCTTACAGAAACTAGTATCGCATACTCAAATGGCGGAGGAAGATGTCGAGTAGATGAATATAAAGTTTCGTTGACAATTCTTAAATAAAATCTGTAATTAGTAAAAAGTCTGCTCATTTTTACATAACACAGACACAAACATAGTTTACATCTAGACAAAATCCTACAATCATACAATTCATTATCCTTTATTGAATTTCCACATTTTCCTTGGCAAATATATTACTAATATGTTACCAATTATATTAAATTTTTATGAATATTACGTGTTTCATTTTAAATAAGCAAAGACAATACATTTTCATATCTCCTTTAAATATATTTTAAATAATGATTCTGACAATTTCTAACAAATATAAAACTTACAAAATGATATTCTATTAAATCGAGGTTTACTCATTTAGCAATGCTGGTAATATTGTTTTTAAAAAATAAGAAAAATTTTAATATAACCTGGATCCTATATGTCTATGGAAATTAAAACAAATTTTGTATGTCGTTAAAATATTTATACTTTCACTGGATATTGTAAATCCTTAAAATGTAATATATCACAGCATATATATATATATATATATATATATATATATATATATATATATATATATATATATATATATAATCTGAGTATATTTCTTCATATTCTGTTTCCACTACTAATCTTATCTTATTAATCCTAACTTTTGAAATATAAAGATATGTTTCTTATTGTTTTTGTTATTACATGATATATTATATTTTATATATTTATCGTTGTTTCATTATATACATTTATAAAAATGATTACACAAATAATAATTATAACAATTATTACACAAATTATAATTACACAAATTAAAATATGAGTTTAAAGACAAATTATGTATTGTCATTTATTTTAATTTAATTTGAAGCAATATATATGTATGTTCAGGACGTTAATAAAATAAGTTAGTAATAGTTATCTGCTTCAATTAGCTATGTTTTAGAACATGCTGTCATCATCACATTTGATGCTGACAAGCTTTGCCTTATGGTGTAGAAAAAGCAACTTGTACAATTATTATCTATGGATCTCTATTTGTAATCTTCTAAATTATGATATTAACATCTACTATACCTCCATTGCAAAAATAATATATGAGATGTTGTAAAAAATATATTCTGGAAGCATTTACAAATATAGTTGGAAAACAATTATTGTAAATCCTATATTGTATGTATGTATGTGTTACTATAAATATGTGCAGAAATATATATATATATTTTATAGATAAATAATCTAACGTCAATACAAATACATTATTTGAAACATTGGCATTATCTCTGATGTCATTCAACTAATGTATTACAGATAGTTTACGTATATATACTTTTGGTATAAGATATATTCTTTATAAAGATGCCTTAGATTTATAGAGAAAGAAATTTTATTTTAATTTTTAATATAACATTATATTTAAACTATATGCAAGAGCACAAACTGAAGAAATAATAAAATAAATAAAAAAAATTACTCATTTTCTGGAACATTTTTCATAAAATTATTATGTATAAAAATATTATTATATTATTAATATAAGTTAAACTTACTGAACTTTGAAATAAAATAATCGATGATAAAATAGAACTTTATTAATTTATAATGTTATTATGTATAAATTTTTTTGATAGTAATTTCTACATATACAATTTTCTTCTATAATAATAAAATTTCCACGTATACAATTAATATTCTATTTATATATCTATTTATACATAAATATATTTCTATTTATACATAAATATATTTTACAAAATATAACATTTTTAATGCATTATAGAAATAGAAGTTAATGGGAGTCAAATAAAAAACTCAAGAATAATAAAATTATACAAATCGATACTTTATCACTTTATGGCATTCATAATATGCCCTCAATAGTACCTCAAGATATAAAATGATTAAAAAAATAAAAAATATCAATGTTTAACAATCTGTTTTTTCTTAAATACAGTTTGATATAAAACAGAAGATGTATATTTATAAACTATAATCATGCTTATAAGTTCTCTGCTTCAGTATAATTTAATTATTTTATTTCATGCAAATGGAAGTATGTGTCACTATTATTCATTCTATTATACACGGCAGTAATTCGCAATAGGCTAAATTGAATTCAACAATGATACAATTTCTATATAATATTTGCTTTGTCAATAGTAACAAATTATAAGATATTTATGTAACAATGAATAACATATATAACAATCCTCACACTTCTCATGAGTACTATACATTCATAAAGGTAAAAATATATTAACTCCAAAAAACTTCAAAATCATATACTAAATGATATTTTGCAAAATGTTTAAATATTCATATAATCAAGAGATACGGGCAATAAATTATGTGCCGCAAATAGCGAAGCGGACCTATATCTATCATACTTGCTTTGTACTTTTTCTGATTTATAAACAAGAAATAAATAAACAGTGTATGATATGCAATGCAAAATTCAGAAAAAATATAAGCAATAAAATACAATTTGTACTCTGATTGAGTTTTTCATCTTGAGCATATATAAATCAAACTCTATACCTAATATTCATACAGTCATGAAAAATCGAAAAATTAGCAATCGTTATCTTTGTATTAACATATTCTTTAACTTGAAAAATATCAAATATTACCCAAATAACTAACCTATAACTATTTCGAATTCAAAATTTCATCTCTAGCTTGCGACATTACGTCAAGAGCATTTTTCTCTATAAGATTTTTGGCTAAATCTTTCCCAAGTAACTCTGCACCAAGAAGACTTATACTGCTTACTTTACCAGGGATAACGCTACAGTAAAGACGAGGTTCTTGATATGGACATTTCCTATATAGTGGAAAAAGAGGAAATAAAGTATAGAATAAATTTAAAAGAATCTACTCACAAAAATATTCTGATATCACGGCGGTAAATTACTGGTAGAACTTAAAAGCTATTTAACTTACCGTGGAGGCTCACCATCATCGTCAGGTAAATACAATTTACTTTTAGACGTATTTGTAACTAAGGTTTGACCATCTAAAGACCACACAGCACCAGTAATTGTTAACTCGTTCTTTTTTAAACATGAAGATACTGCAACTGGTGCGGAACATCCGCCGCCAAGAGTTTTTAGAAAAGATCGTTCGCATACACATCTTAATGTTGTTTCTACATCGAATAATGGTTCCAAAAGAGAACGTATTTCCCAATCTGATTCTCGACATTCAACACCTAATGCACCCTGACCAATAGCATAGAGAGCTTCTTCAGGTTCCAGAAGCTGGAAGAATACATGTACATATTAATGTAGATAAATTTTTTTATAGAAATAATGTAAAGAAATCTATAAATATAAGAGTCGTACTTGACTTATTCTGTCTTCCCAGCCCATTCTTTTTAAACCAGCAGCAGCTAATATTATTGCAGCATAGGAACCATTTTCATCATCTAACTTTTTCAATCTAGTGTTCAAGTTTCCACGAATATTTTGTATCTTCAAATGAGGCATATTTCGAGATAGTTGTGCGGATCTACGTAAAGAACTAGTACCTATGATACTACCTTTTGGCAATGAAGATAATTTTTTACTTTTGAACTTTTTCGACATAACTACTGCATCACGTGGATCTTCGCGTCTATAAAAGCAAATTAGTCATTCATATTAGCAAATATTAATATATTTTTCATTTTTTGTTACAATCTTTTTCCAATTTATAATTTGATTTGATGATTCTATATATGTCATGAAACAAATACATATTTTACTAATAATCTGAAATTATTCTTTTTATTCGCAGATTTATAAATTTTATGTTTCATAATTATCATATATTATTAAAATATATTGATGTTTCATAATTATATTATTAAAATGATAATTATGAAACATAAAATACGTGGAAATTAATTAAAATACAAAATCTTTATACCAAAATTACAATAATTTTCAAATTATAAGTAATTAAAGTTAATATTTAATATTATAAAAAGTTTACATTGGTCCGGATATCAATAAAATATATCTTTCATAAAAAAAAACAAGATGTTTCTTTTATGAGAGTGCTAATGTTTCTACATTTGAATTTCAAATATATGTCGCCATCTTGGAACATAGAATGAGCAAAATAGCAAAGTCAGCTTTTGCTGTTAAATAATGAAGTAATATAGACAAATATATAATATCAAAATAATAAAAATAATTATAAATAATAAAAAGGAGGGGAGAGTTGTTGTATGTCTTATGTCAAAGACTTAACTTACTTTAATATTGCACCTAAAGCCATTCCTGCTGGTAGTGTTGTTGGCATATCTTTTAATGAGTGCACCACAAAATCAATACGATCGTTTTCCAAAGCTATTTCCAACTCCTCCGTGAATAGTGACTTTTCACCAATTTTTGGTAAAGATTTATCCAAAATCTTATCTCCCTTGGTATTCATTGTTACTGTACATTTGATTACAAAATTTGAAAATATAAAATCTTTAATTTATAAAATACAGTTTGACATACATAAATAGAAATAGTTTTGTGATAAACATAATAATAAACATGATAAAATATTTTATTATATGCAAGTTATAGAAGCAAGAGAAACCAGTTGTTCCAAGTATATTATGTAATCTTTTTTATATATATATAAAAAAAAAAAAAATATGTTGGAGATTATCATGTGTTAATATTGCAAGATTGAGAAAAAGAGAGAAAAAGCAAATATAAATAAATAATTATGTAAATTAAAAATTTTTTCAATAAAAATTAATTATGCATAGTAATTAATATAATAAGAACAATATGTTATTGCAGTTTTTATCACTTATTTCAAACTGCTTACCTATTTCAAATTCTTTCTTTGGATGTAATTCTTTTAGGGATTGTATCACATGCTTAGTCTGTATCAAAGCCAGCTAAATAATTAAAACTTGAATTATTCATCTATGAAGTAACACTTTAGAGCGTGACTGCGTCACGACGTATATTTATTTCATGTACATAATTTTATAGCTAAAATTTTATAGCCAAAAATGACATTGAAAGAAACACACTCTTCAATATGTGATTCAATATCTAATCTTCTACTTTTCGAGTATACAATCAAACATTCATTTATCGTAAATTGTTTTTTGCAAAGATTAAAAAATTGCTGAGTAATTTCATTAGTAGAATGATGCACATACAAATGCAATTGTAATACACGCAACGATTACGTAAAATTAACGTTTCAATGAGTGCACCACACTAGTACAAAATGACTTATATTTAAGTCAATGAAAAAATCAGACATTTTAATAATTGCATAATTGTCTTATTTATTCTGAAGCGGAATATACTCTCGGTGCTTTTATAAAAGGAAAAAACTCGCCAAAAAAACAAATGTTAATGATTTCGATAATAGTATAAAATCCATAAAAAGAAATTTTATTCTTACTTTCTCGAGAAAATTCTCGATAAAGTGAAAGCTGTTCTCACAGACTCACCTCACTTTTCCGAGATCCAACTCGGATTACATCACGTTTCTCCGCGCCGTTCATTTTATTCACGTTTGGAGCACTCGGTATAAATTGATATAAATATCAAGTGCGGAGAAATGAGGCTTCGAATTTTGGAATGTGTCAAATAGGAAGTGTGAGCAAGAGACGATGGGGACATGAATTGAATCGAAGAGCATGAACACTTTCACCGCGGTGATTAACCTTAATGACTTTACATATAATCGTAATCTTGAAGGAGATGGAAAATAGGAATAAAGTTATGTAGATTAATATTTATGTTATATACGTTATTTTTCACAGTCACTGACACTGCAGCAGAATGTGAAATTGATGATCGAGAAGTTTTGGAAGAATGACGATGAAACGTTATAACCACATCGTGATGAATGTGCAAAAGCGACTAACTATCGATCATTGATGATCGTCAATCCAGAGTCCGGTCAATCTAACAGTGATGTCAGAAAGGAAAGAGAATAATTTATGTTTATGTTTTTACGTCTACAGAGGGCGTATCAAAAATCTACTTATCAAAGTAATATTTGATTGACCAATCAGAACAGAAGGAGCAAAGATATCTTTGTCCAATGGCCGCATTCAGCGGACTCAACATTACTAGATTTTCCGATGTAATTTGACGCTGATTGGTCGGACCTGAAAGTAGAAACCAATCATGTTCGATTGCTATTTAGCGGTGAATGCGCTGAATGCAGTCAATTTGAATTTGCCTGAAAAAATTCTTTAACCAATCAACGAGCATAATGATCGTAGGATTCTAAGCGATTGGATTGGCTAACTGATCAAATGACGTCAAGAATATAGTCAAAAATTCTAGTTACGTATAAGAGCTAGTGTTATTTAGCTAGGTTGATCTTTCCGCTCGGTGAGCAGCCTGCAGCTTGGACAATATGTCGAATATGTCCGTCGTGCGTTTCGTGCGCTAGTTTCGTTTGACTTCGGTAAAAGCAGGGAACTGTTGCAAAAAATACGCTTACAGTGATCGTGCGTTCACATTTTAAATCGCAAAGCACATTTACGTCAAAATCTCTATTTAAATGCGTCTCTCAGCGATTTAGATAAACGAATTACGCGGTAAGATATTAAATCAAGATACATATACCACGTATAGAATATACATAAGAAATTGCATATATACACATCTCTCCATTATGTGAAATTTTTTTCATATAATCTATATACACACTCAAGTGTATAAATAAACATATATATAAACTTATGTTACTCTATATTATCAAATATACTATATGTATCATAAGTATTATTAAAATTATATTTTTCCTGGATAGTAATTTATATACATCTACTTGCATATTTATCTTTAATTATGATAAAAATAGGAGAAAAAGTAGAAATAAATTATTTCAATTAATCTACATATTATTTAATTTAATTACATAATATTAAATGTGCAATTTTCTGTACTTATTATCAGATTTTTATAATATTTTATACACTTGCACTCTAAATATATACTATTGTTTAATATATTGTTTATAATATATATATATATATATATATATATATATATATATATATAATATATATTTAATATTATTTATGTTCCTTTTCTGTATAACAGAATCTCAGAATCATGTATAATATATGTTAAGATTTTTTTTGTAGAATACAATTATAAAACTAGTCTTAGCATTGTATAAATTTCATGAGATTATATGAATAATATAACTTTCAGATAGATAAAACTTAAATAGACATTAAAGTTCTAAATGGCAGAGGAAGAAAGGGTGCCTCTTTCAGGTAAGAAATATTTTTTTAATATAAATAGATTTAATTTGCCACTATAAATGATTACTTTGTGCATTGAAATTAGAAAAAGATGACACCCAATCAAATGATACCACCCAATCAAAAGATGCTTATGTACCGGAAGAACCAACTCCGGATACTTCAATTTGCTTATCAGACATACAAATGCCAGAAACACCAGAGAGTACCAAAGGACAAATAAGCGATGGAGATACATCTAGATTAGAGAGTCCAAAGGCAGTAAAACCAGTACTTGGAAAAATTCAAGCAAAAAAACGATTAATGGCATTTGCTAATCAGTTTAAAGTATTATCCAAGTCCCAAATTAAATCAAATTCGCAGCATTCCACTGGAGTTTTAAAAACAAAAGATAAAACAACACAAGATGATACAAATACAAATAAATCACGAAAAAAGACAGGTATGTAATATAAAATATCATATTTTAATATGTAACATGTCATAATTATCATTTTTATTATATCTATAACTGTCTATGATATATAAGCTAATGCATTGAAAAATTTACAAATGTTAAATTTTTTTATGCAATTTATTAGAAAATTTTCTATACAACAATTTATAGGATACTAAATTACAAAATTTAAATTTTTATGGATTTGTAAGGAATAAAATATTGTTTAAATTTTTCAAAGAATTTATGTATAGAATTATGTATAGAATACATAGTTTAAACATTATGAAGCTAATATGTTTAATTTTGTAATTGAGGTATAGAAATATTTTTTAAACTTTTTACAGAAGAAAAGATTCTAGCAATTGAAGAAATTCGAAGAGAAGAATCTAAAAGTAAAATGTTGGCCATGGCATCCATGGCAGCAGGTATTATTTTTAAATAGTGATAACTAATATCAGACATACAATGACAAAACCTTTTTATAGCAAGTATGGAAGACGAAAATCACACTGGCAAGAATATATCTGATTTACTGGAGAGTAAAAAGCATGGGAAAAGAAGCAAATACGAAGGAATAAACGAATCTCGTAAAAATAGATCAACAATAAACCGAAAATATTCAGAAAGGTACAAAGAGAACGATATTTTTATTAATAAAATAAACACATTCCTTTTTAATATTTTTATACTTATGCAATATGTTTATTATTTTTTTTCTATATTTTGCTATAATTTTTAAGGCACCGACATCGTGACAAAACTGATAGAGGTAGCTCGAATCGAGAAGTAAAAGATCGAAATGAAAGTACTGAACATTCTACACAAAAATCATCTCAAGACAGAGACACACGTAAGAAAGATAAGAAAAGGAAAGAAGATAAAGATAGGCGAGATGATAGCAAAGTGGATATAAGTCGTGATAAGAAAGAAGAAGAAAAGGATAGAAAAGAAAATGAAAAAGAGAAACGAGAAGAGATAAAAGAAAAAAAAGAAGGAACAAAAAGTAAGAAAGAGAATATAAAAGACAAACGAAATAATACGTTGGAAATGGAAGTTGAAAATAAGGACAAGAAGGAAAAAGCTAAAGATAGATGGAAAGAAAAAGAATTATCAAAGTGTAAATCTTGGATGGAATTACAAAAATCTGGTTTAACTCTTGATGACATCAATCATCTTAGAAGACGTGAAAATATAGAAAGATCTGTAAAAAATAGGTATAGCACAATTATAAAAATTAAATATATTCAAGATTTATATATATATATATATATATATATATATATATATATACATATATATATGTATGTATTTTAATATGTTTCAGAACAGCACAAGATTATGCGCGTCATCTCGAACATATGTTAATGTTAAATAATCATCATCTCAAACGTCAAGCTCTAATAGTTGAAGGACTTGATGGACCTAAAAAATATCCACCTGAGTCGATTAAAACGACAAAACGAGCAAAGGGAGCTCAATTATTGTATTGTGAAAATCCACGTACTTCCCTTTTCTTATGCACTTCTCAACTTCTACAAGCTGTGTCCCCAGAACGTCGTCAAAAAATACGAGACATATGCGAAGCATCTTCATCACAGTATATCACAATGTTTATTGAACAATAATTTTCTATTGAAATTTTTCTTTACCTATTCCAGATCTTTATATATAATTGCAGATTTGATACAGAAGACATAACGCCACAAATGCGTAATTGGTATCAGCAAATAAATGCAACCAAGTATCATAAAGATACTAAGTGGCAAGTGACTGTACAACTTCCTAAGTCAAAATGGGACAGTGAAGATGAAGAAATGACATCTGTCAATGCAAAAAAAGAAGAGATTGAAAAACCAATAAATAAATTACACATTTCTGTGGTTCAACGTAAGTGACTTTTTATAATACAAACAATATTATAACAAATGTTGAAATTCTAATAGAAATAATGATAGTCCATTTTTTGTTTTAAAAGAAGAGAGATGTTCCACATCCTCTAGCACTATTGATAAAGTTGATACTAATGCTGAAGACATTAAAGAAGATAATGAATCTAGTGAAAAGACAATTGACAATACAACGACAAATGACGAAGCTTCAAAATCTCCTTTACAATCCACAGGAGATGAAAAACTAGCTTCAGAATATGAACAATTTATGAAGATGGTATGCACTGTAACTGATGTAACTAAGGAATATTTGCCAAAGAAAAACATTGCTAAAACTGCTTCCCCACATAGTTATCATGAATTCAATATAGAATCTAATTTGGCAGAAGATAACACGGATATCGAAATATTGAAAGAAAAAAAAGATAAAACTTCAGAAGAATCAATAAAGAGTACAGAATGTGAGGAGTCCACTATATCCACAGATTGTCAAATACAGATTAATGAGAATAATATGCAAATTGAGCACACAAACAGCATCGACGAATCTGAAGATTCTAAATCAATACCTAGTGATTGGGAAAACGTTAGAATCAAAGTTGAACGATTAAGTGACGAGAATACTGAATCGAGAGAAATTAAGAAAAAGAAAAAACAAAAGAAAGTAATGTCCAGCAGTGATTCGTCTAGTAGTACTAGCTCTTCAGATTCAGAAAAAGAAAAGAAAAGAAAGAAACGCAAACGGAAAATATTGAGTAATTCGTCTTCCTCAGACTCCGATAGCACAGACAGTAGTAGCAGTAGTACCAGCGATTCCAGTAGCTCGGACGAGAAAAGGAAAAGAAGGCGGAAGAAGAAGACAGTTGGAAAGAAAAGAAAGAAGGCAAAACGTGCACGAATAAAGAAAAAACGAAGGAGGAAGATGATCACTGATTCCAGCAGCAGCGATTCAGACCAATTAGATCAACGTATAAAGAAAAAGAAGAAGATTAAGAAGAAGAAAAAAGAAGCTAAATCTATTAATAATGGAGATATAAGCAAGATCATATCCAAGTCTCCTGTTTCATCTTCAGGCGAGACAAAGATATTACACTCAGAAACTTCAATAAAGAAGGTTAAAGAAGAAACTATGGTAAAAAATAAAAAAATAGCTGATGAAATTACATCAACGAGAAAAACCATTACTAATATGAATATACATGATAATGAATGCATGAAGCAATGGGAAGTGGATTCCATGATTACATTGCAGTCAAATGATGGTGAATCAAGCCAGGATCATACTGATGAATTGGGAAAGATAGATGGCTCTGAAAAAAGTACACATCGAAGGAAAAGAAAACGTAGTCGAGATGTGCAAGACAAAGATAGATCATCTAAAGAAAGAATTCAAGAAGGAAAAGAAAGATCAGATGAGGAACTTGATGTGAAAAGAAAAAAGAGAAGAGAGAAAGATATTAGAAGCAGCACTGAGTTTCTTGCAGACTGGGAAAGAGAAGGTGAGCGTATTAATCAGCAAATAATACAAAACGAAGTTAAATTTTCAAAAAAATTGGAAAAAAAACAGAAGAAAGAAAAATGGGGAGAAACAGATTTTGATACATTGAATGTACCATCTTTGACACAGCTTGAAAAAGAGGTATGCCAAAAACAACTTCTAGCTGATGAGTGGGAAGTGGATAGTTTGGAAGCAATAGCAATAACAGATCTGACTTTAAGTAAACGGAAAAGTAATCAAAGTATATTAAAAAAGTTGGAAAAGGAAGTCAGATATGATGAAAAAACGGACACTTATATTGCAATAGAAAAGGAAAGTGCGAAAGAAATGAAAAAGAGACAAGAACGTTTGTGTGCAATAAGAATATGGGAAGAAGAACAAGAAGAAGGTGAAAAAGAAGAGATGATGCTCTTAAAACAGAAAAATAAGCATAAAAAGGATGATTGGGATATAGAAGAGGAATCATTTTTATGTAAAAATAGTGAAGAAATAGAAATCTGTAATGACATTGTCGGGATAGAGAAAGAATGGATTAAATCAAGTGATGATACAAATGTCAAGGAAGACTCAAATAAAGAAATAAAACTTGAATCAATTGGTTCTAAGCGAGTTAGAAAGAGTCGTTGGGATATGGGTTCACATTCTGAAGAAAAATCAGAAACTAAAGATATATGGGAGGAAGAATATCCGGAATGGTCCAAGATTAATAAATATGAACAGAAACATGAAGAAACAGAAAAAGAAGATTCACATATTGCAACTTATTCAGAGAACTCTAGAGAAGATCAGAGACCTAAAGAGAGATCAGTTAAATCTGATCTGATAGATTTTTATCATAAAAAATCGCAAAATAGAGAATCATTAGAAAGAACATGGACGGCAGAGGAAATGGCAACTAGACCGATGCAAACAAAAAATGTAGAAGACGCATCAATGAAAAATTTAATTTCTGTGAAAACAAGCAATGAGCAGATTGTGTCTATCAAAGAGCATCAAGCTAGAGATCAGTTTAAAGAAATGTTGGATTTGAAAAAACTTACAGAGAAAACCATAGAATTATATAGTCCTAGCTCTCCAGCACTTTCTCAAAAGTCTCAAGTAAGTATTTTTATTTGTATATAAATAATGTTACATGTACAAAATATATCCAAATAAAAAGATTATAAACTAATCTGCAATTTGGTAAAAAATTCTCTAAATAAAAAAATTTTAATCAAATTTTCTTTGTCAGTCAAACTGATATGCGACAAAATAATGTCGAGTAATATTGACCAAATTCTTATGAATGTAATTCAATGTAATTTCAATGTATTTAACTTTTTAATTTAAGGGCGCATTGAGAATCTTGGTAGAAAAACAGAAAGTCAATCAGAACTTGCGCTATGCTAGTAAGCAATATATGAGAAAGACAGAAAGTAGAAACTGTTACTACCAGCGCGAATTTTGACTGACTTCTGTTTTTCTGCTTTCTGCTTTCTGCTTTTCTGTCAAGGTCTGAATGCGCTCTCATACCTTTTTTTATTTGGATATTAGTACAATTAATATAATAGTGTTTCTTTATATAAATAATTATTTTTTTTGTTTATAGGACATAGAAGGATCTAATGACAGCAGTAGCTCTATTTCTTTACCTTGTAAGAAAAGGAGAAAAGAGATGTTGACTGCAACAGAAGAATTACCAATTCATACTGCTGGTATACCGTTGCAATTAACAAAACTGCGTGATACTAAACATGTAACAAAAGAAAAGATTGAAGATATTTTGGACAAAGTACAACTGGAGGATAAAAGCTCCGCTCATAAATTTGACATTAAAAAAACTGACAACTTGTTCGATGATTTATCGATAAATGAATTGTGTTCGGAAGCACACTCTCAGTCAGTATGTATGGATATTTTTGCCGAATATGGATCAGAAGGATCACGTAGTAAACAACGTGTTAAAAATTCAAACATAAGTTCGACAACACATATAAAAGATGATGAAACGAATGCAGAAAAAACTGCACTTAAACTTATTCCTAAACAGCTTCTGATACGACGTACTAATGAACAAATAAAACCGACAAAACGTATCTTAGAGGCACCGTTACAAGATCCTGCTCAGCATGCGGCGGCACTATTGACAATACAAAAGAAACTGCTACAATCACACGTATTAGAAAATGATATTCAAAAATTGCCGAATGAAGAATCAATGGATCAATTTAAATCAACGTATAACGCGGAAAGTAATAACAAAGTCGACAAATTATTAGATACAACTGAATTCGCTGTGGCTTCCAAATCATCGATAATAGCAATACGACAATCCCCAGTTTCGGAAAAGCCAATCTCCGTTCGATCTGGACAGTCTGAAAATTACAACAACAGAGAAAGTAAGAGCGATGACGTAAAAAAATATAAAACAAGTAGAAATCTAAGTGATATTAATGTCCCATCGGATGTACGATCTTCTAGAGAACGTAGAAAAAGAAGTCCTAGTAAGAAACAAAGCGAAAAACGATATTCGCATGATTACAGTAAAGATAAGAAAGAAAGGAGATCTGACGATGGAGAAAAATCCGACAAAAGAGACAATAAAAGTTTCAAAACGGACTTCGCCGATAGCCGAAGAAAATCGAGTCCTTCACGAGGAAAGAGAAAAAGGAGCGGCAGTCCATATGCTTCGTGGGAACGGCAAGGAAGCGGCAGTAGAAGTCCCGGTCACAGTTGGAGCAGAAGTCGCAGCAAGAGCCCGAAGAGGAAAGACGAGGCTACTACCAGTATGCGAGATAGAGAGAAAAAGAGAGAGATGAGATACGACGATGAGCGATCAAATAGATCGCGAACAGATGAGAGAAGAGAAAGATATACGCGCTCTTATAATGAAGGTAAGAAATAATTTAATAAGAGCATGCGATTGTTCTTTCTAAACAAATTTTTATCGTAATTTTAATAAATTATTATTGTTTTTTTCTATCCACTTATAGATAACTTCAAGAAGCATGGTTCTGTATCCTCTAAAGGTAATCGTGAAGATTGGGGTAGAAAAAGATATGATAACATGGATATAGATCATGAGAAAGATGTCAGATCTTATGATCCAATGGAGTTGTTAAGAGAGAGAACGATGGAATCTGAAAAATATAGAGATAACAGGTATTATTTAACAATTTCTTTGGAAATATTATTTATATATCTGAACGTTTTATACACTAATAATTCACTAATAAAAGAGTTAAAATAAAGATAAAACTTGTAGCATTAGACTTATGTTATTTATAATGTCGCAATCTATGGATTCAGGATATGAATATGTAAAATATCTTTACAGATTTCATACAGAAGAATTAGGTCATGCATTTTGGCAGTATGAAAATAACAGTATCTTGCGAGATGGCAATGAATCTGTGGATTCTTATGCCACTGGACAAGATCTGCCTGCCGAATGTGACGATCGAACGTATTATGGAGAAGAAAGTCTGGAAAGGGACATGACACAATGTTCGCCCCAACCACTGCCGAAATATAGGAGAAGGTATTTACAATTTGTGTGCATATATATTAAATGAATTTATGGTTAAAATGTTGATGAGAAAACATAATGTGACGATATCTTTGTCAAACTTTTATTTTTTACGAGTGTCTGCGTGAAAAACATAAGAAATTTTTTATTTTTTAGTCAAGGTAGATCAAGAAGAGATTGGCAATGGGAAAAGGATAAAGATTCAATTTCTGATCGTTATGGACATAGATTACGAAATCGAACACCGCCGCGCTCGAGATATTCGCCAATGCGACAGGAACGATTTAGACGAAAATCCAAATCGCGTTCAAGATCTTGGTCGCAATCGAGGTCGCGGACACGATCTAGATCACGTTCTAGATCAACATCAAGATCAAGACCGAGGATGAGATCACGGTCAAGATCAAGAAGTAGATCTCCATTAGATCTAAGATCCAGAGCAAGATCGATCTCTATGTCAAGATTGAGAAGCCAAGAACGTGGATTGAGAATGTCCGAATTGCGGTCTTCTAGGTAGAATTCAATTTGCAATCAAATTCTAAGATGTCTTCTTGTTTTGGCATAAATCTGGACAATTCTTTATAGATCTCCCTCGCCTGGAAGGAGTAGACTGAATGAAATAAATAGAGAAAGAAAGGACGATGATGAAAACAGAAAACTTTGTGGTGAAAGAGGTAGACGTATAGAGACTATAGTTCAGTCGGGGGTCGCATCGGGAACGAATATCTTAGATTCAGAAATGAGTATTAGTGGCAATATGGATGCAGCAAATTTCCAATATCTAAATGAAATTGAAGGTGGAAATGAATATTATTATACAGAAAATAATTTAACTTATCCTCCTTGTATAGATGAATCAACCACTAGTTCTCCAAAACGCTTATCCCTTGATGATAGGTAAGGATTTGTGCCAGATTCTTCCTAACCCGTTTCCTTGTTTTTAAAATAAAATTAGTTTAAAATTAATTTTGTATTATCTGTTGCACTTTTGTTCAAACATGTTTCAACTGTATTTAATATAGAATCAATTTAGAATTAATATCATATATAATATTAATATATTTCTTTCAGGTTAGAATTGGAATTAGGTATTAAGAAACAACATAATAAAGAATCCACTGGAGTATCTTCAGATTATTCTAATTTCAATCCTAATGTTATTGCATATCCGTCTCCTCCACAACAACAGCAACAACAAATGATGTACAGACAACAGCCTACTGTTCTACAAGTACTTGATTTATATCTTTACATATGTTTGTGTGAGTGTATTGTGTGTGTATGTGTGTGTGTGTGTGTGTGTGTGTGTATTTATCCATTTATCCAAAGAAAGTTTATGAATATTATTTCTCTTGTATGTTAAGGTTGGAAATGTTTTACAAGTAGTTCCTGCTGACTTCAACGGAATGCAATCGTCACGACGAGAAGTGCCTGCAGTCTGTACGACTCCACCTGTGCGATCCGGATCTAGTCAGGTCGTTCGCGTAGGTAATGTTCTCCAAGTAGTACCCACGTCGTTAGATTGGAGCGGCGGCCAATCGACGACCGCGGATCAATCGAATGGGCTTTTGTATTCCTCAGCAGTGCCGACACCTTCGCCGTCGGCATCTTCAGTTCCCATGTCTTCAGTACCCGTTCCTGTTCCAGTTCCATTGCCTGTTCCCCCTACTGGTACGAATACTCTTACTCCTGTCCCGACTGTCGCACCTGCTGCTCCATTACAGCTACCATTGCCAATACCTGTTCCCGTACCGGTCCCAATTCCTCCTGCAGCAGCAACAGTGTTTCCGAGAAATGAAATTCAATCACAAAGTACGTATAAATAAACTATCAATTCTTTTTATTTCGAATATTTCACTTATTACTTAACAATAAAGATTTTTCCGTTATAGAGATAGTCCAACCCGTGTATAATTATGAAGCTATACTCGAGACACGCCGCAAAGAGCGGGAGGAGCGTAAAAGACTACGCGAGTTACGCAGAAAAGAGAAAGAACGCAAAAGAATAGAGCGAATTAATCGACGAGCTCTGCGATTACTGGAACAGAATAATATTTCGCGACCAGCAGGTGAGATCTTGTTGGATCGTCGTAAGGGTTCTGTTGTGGATCCATCGGTTTTAAAAGCATTAAAAGAAGGAGAAGAACAAGCTGAAGCTGAATCCCCATCCCAGAATAATTCTATAAAAGAAGAAGAAGAGGAGGCAACAGTATCTATAAAAGAGGAAGACGAAGACGTTGCCGCCGATGAAGACGAAGATGACGATGAAGACGAGGCTGAAGCCGAAGCGGAAGATGATGAAGAGGAGGAAGAAGAAGCGGAGGATGAGGATGAAGATGATAATGACGATGACGAGAAATCACAAATGATTAATCAACGAACCGAAGTTGATGAAGTAACAATGCCCGCTGATATGAATAAAGATCAAGCGGAAATCGAAACTATAAAAGAATGGCCAGAATTACCACCTCCGCCATTAAAAGGCATTTTAATTGCACCAGGATTTAGGTTCGTAAGCATTAATATTTTTTTAAATATTTCTCCGAAATCTATTGTTCAAATCTCGTATTTTATCTCACCAATTTGCAAATTATTTTATTTTCAGAAGAGACTCAATTCCCAATGGCAATTTGGATGATTTAGCGGATACAGATAATGATATCAAGAGCAATAGCGACAATGACGAGGAGGTGGATAAGAATAACGAATGTAACAAAGATACGGGACTCGATGTCAAATCTGGTAAATCAGCAAAACTATTGAAAAAAACAAACAAAAAATCGGTTCAATTTGCTGATGGTATAAAGCCTGGTGAAGGTACAAGTCCCAGCGGCGGTGAAGGCGACATGCCTTCACCACCACCTCCCAAAAGAACAGATTTACGTGAAGGGCTCAAGGATTTGAGAAAAGACAAAATTTACAGTTCACGGAAGAGTAGAAAGCAAGAAAAAAGAACAAGATTACCAAAAACAAAAAAGAAAGTCAAGGTACACGCGATTTATCGTTTTTTAATTTCTAGGAAATTTAAAGAAAAGAAAAAGTATTTTTTAATCGTATTGCTTAAAACGTTTTTTCTTTTATATTTTTGCAGGTGAAGATAATCAAGTTGAAAAAACCGCGCGTTACCCCTTTAACAGCCATGATGATGGATGATTCTGATGAAATGGATGATCGTTCGCCACCGCCACCGCCTCCTGGTTCTCCACCGCCACCACATCTCTGGCCCAGCTATCTCTCAGTTTACAATACAACGGTTCGAACAATCGAACAACCGCAGACTACAACTCCCACCTTGACATCTGTTCAAGCTCCACCACCGCCGACTCCATTGCCTCTTCTGGTCCCGCCTCCTCCGCTAAACTATACCATTCAACCTTGTAGTAAAGCTTAAGATTCAATCAACCACAAATTTTGCGAATTCTTTTGATACTGACCATTTTTTCCTCATAACGTATGATAGATTTGAGGATTGGATAGTCAAAGCGAAAATTGTACATTATGCTAAAGTTGATACTTCAATAACAAAATTAAAAATAAGAAAGACAAACGTTGTTGCGGAGAACATGCATTGATATTGTAAATATGATCATTATTTCTCCCGACCAAGAGAGATCGTTATAAATCTTAATCCATTGCGTCCGTAATTTTTAGTAACTTATACAGTATTTCCTTGTTAACAGAAAGATTTTTTGTTTTATTCATAGGTTATTTTCTTTCCCTTTTCTCTTCCTCTTTGTACAAGTGAATCTTCTTCTTTGAATTCTTAAATTCTAATTCTTATCTATTTAAAATTTTTACATCTAACAATGTTTAAATTTTAAATATTCTTTCTTTTTTCCTTCACTTATCCCAAGTTTTCACAAGATAATCTTTGAAAAATAAACGTATTTGCGTTTTTATTAACAGGAAATGCTTTTGAATTCTTTTTGCAAACAGCTTTCTATTAATGAGGAGATATCGACTAATATATAATTTAGTTCGTATATATTCGTATATTTTTCGATATCGAGAAACAAATATAAAGTTATGATAGCAATGGATCTAGTGTAATTAATTGTTAAGATTTATTATTATAAATAAGTGCATATCTGAAAAAATGCAATGTATACATACATTGTATTATATATAATTATTTGTCACACAAATACACGTGACTCAAATGCAGATGATATGACTTAAAATTAAATCCCTGTGCAATTTTTCTTACTGTCACGAAACATATTTAATAATTTATCTTATCGTTAATATAATGACAAAGTACACACAAAAATATTTAAAAAAATTTGATTTTATAAAAACAATCATTGTATTATTATATGCCTTCTTCTATGCAATTAGAGGCATGTATTTAAAGGTTTTAAGATGTACAACATTGGAGATATATTGCAGATATATTTATAATTAAGTGCTCTAGAGAAATTCCAGCGAAAAATTGTAAAGTATTTTGCAGTATCTATAGAAGATTTAATATGAGATAACATTAAAAATTACATTAATATATATTGCAGATAAAATGATAACATTGCTCAATATTATCACACGCATATTTACGTCATTCAATATGATACTGTGCCTTTGCTCAGTAAACAAAAAAAATATATTACAGATAGTACATTATGAAAAAGTCTGATTAATAAATGCAACTGACTTTATAATACTATTTTCTATTTTTTTTTATAATTGGATATCAAAATGAATTCCAGCGTCTTTTGAAAAAAAACGTTAAATATGTAATATGTGAAATATTGCGCTTTGTAATAAAAAAAATAGATATTGTATGCGATATTAAAGTATACTTAGTAATGATAACAGCAGAAAATTGATATCATTGGACACAAATAGAACACATACAAGCATTGTAAACAACTTTACTGCTAGTACTAACAAGTATATCGTGTCTCATACGCGTACGAGAAATCGGTCAATAATTCTCGGCAGTCGAAGATAATTGTAAAATAGTGGTATAGTTTATTCTATATTCAAACTTTAATTTGTAGCTACTTTTATTAATTCACAGTCTGAAAAAGCGGAATGAAAGTAGCTATCGTTGGTGGTGGAGTCGTCGGATTAACGACGGCCATAATTGCGCAAAATGGATCTTTTCGTAATGCTAATATAACAATATTGGCTTCGGATTATGATAATATTGTCAGTCATGTAGCTGCGGGAATTTTTAGAGTTGGTGCCTCATTCAGTAGCTCTAATGAGGAAAAAGTAACGAAGTAAGTAATAAATGTTTTCCGCTATTTCACTAACATATATATATCTTATATTTTGTTAAAAAATTTAGCATAAGATACATATGTATATATATGAATGTATATGTTCTATCATGTGAAAACAAATTTTAAAATTATATAATTTTTCTCATCAGAGAGATTTGTGTTTTATTCTGAAACTGTTACAAAAAATTAACATATAAATAATAATATGAATATAGTCTGAAAAAACCGAAAAAAGAGTTAGAGACTTAGAGATATAAAAATGAGAAAATAAAAAAAATGAAAAATATTTAAAAAAGTTCTTTTTTGAAAAATTGTATTAAAAAAATCAAAATGTGATCTTGATACTTTACGCGTGTTAAAACTTATTCAAATGTCAAAAGGTTGAAATATATTGTTGATTTTCCAATTTATAAAGCTATTTTTCTCGAAGTCTCATATAACGCATATTTGTTCTACATTTCGACTTTGTGCGAAGAGATATCTACTATCGCTCGTATCACAATTTTTTTATCGCATCTTATATTTATAATCAATTATTTTTCGAGAAAATGGGTTGAAAATTCTTACGAATTTTATGACAACATTCGGAAATCCGATTGTGCTTCTTATGCTGGAGTGACTGATATTTCTGGATATATATTCGCTAATTCATCTCCACATACTGTTCAGGTAAAGATTGATTAAAAAACTACTCTCTTATCAAAAGTTAGAGATTTATAAAAGTAAGTTAGACTTCGTATTCTTCGATATAGACTTATAACACACATAAGCATATATATATTTACACGTATATATGTGTCGCTTCAATTTGTGCTGATTAGTTTAACTGCTTCAATTAGAATCATTGGCTTGAAAGTATAGTTCCGGTATACAGAAGAGCGACAGAGGAGGAATTTCAATTAGTTAATGGCAATTGGAAATATGGATCATTTTTCTCGACTCTTCTTACACAAAGCACTTTGTATCTTCCATGGATTAAGCAAAAGTAAATGATATAATTATGGACAAGTAATTATGGACAATCGAGAAATTATGGTTTGGAATTATTTATCTTTCCACAGATTGCTAGCAAACGGAGTTACTTTTAAACAAAAGGAACTAAATTCCCTCAAGGAATTAACTGGCGAATTTGACATCGTAATAAATTGCACTGGACTTGGAGCGCGTAAATTATGCGACGATAGACGTCTTGTTTCTATTCGTGGTCAAGTGCTCAAAGTATGCTACCTTATGCTTTCAATATCATCTTTGCTTATTAATGCTATATTGATATTTTTTTACTTTTTATCTATGCAGGTAAAGGCTCCGTGGATTAAAACTTTCTTTTACGGCGAGCTCGACACCTATATTATTCCAGGTTTCCATGGCATGGTTACTTTAGGTGGATCGAGAGGCTTCGATTCCGAAAATATGAAACTATGTCCATATGAATCTGCAGCGATTCGTGAAAGATGCGAAACATTGGTTCCATCTGTAAAAGATGCAGAACTTTTGCGACAAGAAGTTGGTCTGCGACCACATAGGGAAGGCGGTGCTAGAATTGGAGAGGGAAATATCGTTCACAGTGATTGCTCTAATAAAACTATAGTCAGTACTTTGACAATAAAAAGAGTTACGTATTCACAAATAGACTCCATCATATTGTTTTTGCAGATCGTACACAATTATGGACATGGTGGTTATGGAGTTTGTATGGCACCAGGAACTGCTATAGCAACCCTCGACACGGTCGTTGATCTTCATAAAGTTACCTACTCCAAAATATAATTGCTAAATAAAATACTTTTTCCTGTTTTATATATATGTTCAGAAAAATATGCTTCTCTATCTGCAAATGGATACATTCTTTATTAACGAATTTACATACGAAAGTTAGGTTTTGGTCTAATACTGTGAGAGGTATTGTTTACTGAAATGCACTTATAGTCAAAATTTCTGAAGAATTGTTATCAAATGTGAGATACATATTTTCATTGATTAAAAAACACAATTAACATTTTATTTTCACAGCAATCTAAATATTAACAATTTGCTAAAATTAAAGAGTTATGCTTTTTTTATTTGCACATATTTTATCAAGTATATGTTGCCTATTGACCAATTATTTCACAAGAGATGCTTATAAAATGAAAAGTTTGATATTAATTACGATTGCAAATGCTCTACAAAGAGGCTTATAAATTTATAAATATTATATTGTTTGAATTAATGTGCTCAATTATTTATCGAATGTTAAAATGATATCGTTAAGTCATAATTACATTATTGTAAAAAAAAATCACATTGACCCACTTAGGTGCTATTTCTTGCCGGGTTTCACGTTCTTCCGAGGTGGTGCTCCCCATCTCAATGCACTACTATCGACTGTAAGACGTGGCCTCTTGTATTGACTGCTCTTTATATGTTCTTCCACTAATTTTGGTGTGACACAAATAACATGTTGTCCTTTCCAATATTTAACCATATTCATACTTTGTAGTGTTGATATGATGTCAGTTTGCGAGATACTGGTCATTTGACTGTAAATAGATTTGTATTGTATATGCCTTTTTTTATTTTGCTGTGGAAATAATTAATTATTGATAACATATATTTGATGTTTTACCTAAGATCTTTAATACTAAGTGTTCCTCTAAAATCTCTAAGGATTTCCAACAGAATCCAACTCCAGTAACTGCGGTAAGATAATTTTCCTAAATCGCTTAAAGGTTTCTCTGGACTTCCAACTGTTTGTTCAATTCTACTTAATTCATAGCTAAAAGCTATCAATAATTTACCATAGCCTTGCCTTTGAAAGGGTGGCAGAGTTAAGATACATGCAACATTATTACCATCAGGTGATTCTTTTTCCTAAAAGCAGAAGATAATTAAGAAAATATTTAAAACAAATCTTAATAGCACAGATAATTAGTATTTTTGGAAAAGATGTAGAATAAAAGAATAACTTCTTGAAAACTTTAGTGAAGTCAAACAATCTCATTTTTGATTGATACTTAAGATATTTATTTAAATATTTATAGCATACCTTTGAAAAATACCCAACTAAATGTGCACCATGTTTATCCACCTCACATAAAATATAAAAAAGAAATGGCTCTACATCAAAATAAAGCGTTTTGTGATCCAAGAATAATTTAGCTAACAAACACAAATTCTGACAATATATTTTGTGTTCTCTGCCATCTACTTCCCAAATACTTAATGTTCCTTTTCGGTAGATTTCTTTTCCAACTGGCTGTCTATGAGTGCATTCACTCTAAAATAAACAATATATTATTATTATATACATATGTACTCTTAATGAAAGTTCAAGAAATATAAATAGTTCTTTTATACTTTACCATATGATATCTGTACGTTTTTTCGAGACGCATATACTTTAAGCAGTATTCGCAGATCCAAAGCTTTGGTTGCTTGCCATATTCTTCTGGATATGGACTGAAATACCAAGTATCAATCTCATATTTTCCTAGAAATAAACTTTTGAAAATCATGAGATCCTTTTTGCATTAATGGATGATTATGTATGAATGAGACAATAATACTTACCGATTTGTATTTTATCTATATATTTGACTTTTGTTATTGCTTCATGTTCTTTCTCTAGTGCAGCTGTGGTAGGGTCCATTTCTGCATAAGTCTAAAAATAATAAAAATATAATTTGTTAAATATAATATCCATATAAAAAAACTAGTAATAAAACTTCCGCTTATGATAATACTATTTTTAAATATAGATTTATTCTTCACCTTTTGTACATGATTAATCTCATCGTGGCGTCTTTTCTGATTTCTAGTAATTTTGCGATCAGAAGAGTCTGCTAATAAATCAGTTCCAGAATTCCTATCATGCCGCTCTATTTCATTCATGTCAAATCTGCTGGACATGATTCTGTCACGAGGTACCCATTCGTCCAATCTTCTATTGTGTCCTTCATAGTGAACATAATATTCATAATGATTTTCATTCTCATTGTAACGTGTTTGGATAATTTCAGCAGGATCTATACAATAATAAGAAAATAAATATATAATAATTAAACAGAGATAAACAATCTTCTATTTACTTTTTGTTTAAAAATAATATATAATTAATATACAATATATGTTTTAATTTTATATATGTACATATATTAGTTTTATAATTTAATTTTCTTCATTGTAATAATATTTTGTAATTATAAGAAATTAATCAGATAAAATATGCTTCAATCTTTCAAAAATCTTGGCAACTATTGATAAAAAATCAGGGATTGCAAGAGCAAGAAATATTTACAAAATAACAATGCAAATTATTAATTTACAAAATAACAATGCAAATTATTAATTGTCATTTTTTTGTATGTCAATAAAACTTGAAAAAACTTTGCAATTTAGTCATCTGTACTAACGTACACAAAAGTTCTATAATTATACATGCACATAAAACTATTTAAATGTTAAAACACATAATATAAATATCTTGACAGATATTAAATATTCAATATTGATATTATCCCGAAATTTAACAAAATATCTATCATTATCTCATCAAGTCCAAGTGTTTATATCATGCCTTTGCACTTGAATAATTTTACTTTTATTTAGTGTAATTCGCTATTAGTTATTGATCTCACGCACGCCAGGAATCGTCGGATCTGCGAACGAGATAGTGCTCGCCTATATCGAGCGGCAACTCCTCGAGACTGTCAGCGTCATCGCCGGAGCCCTTCCCGCCATTCGTCAACGTATTCTCGCGTTTTTCTTGCTTGACCATCGTCTCCCTCGTCGTGTTGCAACCGTCCTTAGTCCTCTGTTCGGATTCAGCCATAATTCCGGCTGTAATTCACGCGTCACGAGAATTACATGCGCCAGCGAAAACCGTCCAAAAATACCCAAACATTGCACAGGTTGATGCAACAAAGCAACTAAACGCACAACACCTTTATCCGTATACAATGCGGTCGACTACACTCAACTTCGGTTACCACAGCCGTACTGTGTATTGTGTACTACGAATGATTATGGATCGTACGCCATACATGATGCATCATGCATAGAAATGCGCAATAATTCTAGTATTTTTTCATTACGCATGCACAATACCTTGGCACAAAGATGCACGCATCTTATTGGTTATGGTCAATGTGGAGGATACTTTGAAGCGACCAATCAGAATAAAAGGAGTAAAGTTTCTTTAATCTGATTGGTCAATCAAACATTTCAAAGCGTCTTCAGCATCTCTTGGACCGCAGCCATTGATTTATATATTATATGGTAGACCCGCGCAATTTAAAATGAAATAAGAAATGTCAAATTTTAATTATACTTACTATTATTATTATTATTATTATCATTATTATTATTATTATAGAAAATATTAATTAATTTTAATAACAGCATAATAAATATTTAAAAAATTCACAAAAGATTGTACCTTCAAGTCCGATTTATATTTCATATTACAAATCGCTTGCACGTTAATAAATTATTAAAAGTATGCAGAAAATTTTCTTTTTTTGTTCCGATTAATTTATCAAAAGCTACTGCATTTTAACTGAAACTGTTAAGGAATAGTTTTTTCGAACACAATTTTGCATAGCTGTATTTCTAGTAATTTATTATATCGCGTGTAAAATAAAAGCTGGATAAATATTTCTAACAATTCGTTCTGTTTCCCTCTCTCTCTCTCTCATTTTATTAATTCTCCGAAAATATTTATTTTATACGAAAGAACTCTACTTTCACAAGACAAACATATATGTATAGAGTTGAGAACGCGAGATTTGACATTTGAATCTCGCGCCGAGCGAGATAGCGCCACGATCGACAAGCGCGCATGCGCGGCAGAAGTGTCTAGTGGGAGGAGGAAGGCAGTGACGGGAGGAGAGGCGGCGAGCATCGGCGCAGATGCTGCAAACGCTTTGTCCGGTGAGTGTGAACGGTGTACGTCGGTGCTGGGAGGCCGCGCGCGCGTCCGTGAGAGTTCGTGGAAGTCTCCGTATTCGCGATGGACGGCCGTTCGGCGATACCTGTTGCACGACCCGGTCCGAGACCCCGGCTCGTCTCCCTGGACGTCCATCCTCTCTAAAGATACTCACCGGCGCCGGGAGTGATAGCGAAGGATGATGCACCGCCGCGTTCGCGCCCGTTGTTGACGTTTGCGCAGTGTGTACGCGTGTGTACAGCGCGATAAGTGGTGTGTGTACATGTGTGCGTGCTAACAGTCGCGTCAATCGTCGACGCGCGGTCTTTTACGTCACGTCACGTCGCGTCGCGCCGCGTTGCAGCAGCAGCAGCGGTTGCATCGGGCCGAGAATCCGAGGAATCGCATACCGGCGCGAAAGCAGCTCGCGCGCGCGCGCGCGCGTGCAAAACCGACGGAGGTATGGGAATCGTGCAGAGCCGCGGCAGCGAGGACGATGGCGGTGTTCGCGAGGTATTCGTCGGTGGTGTCAAGGCCGGCGTGCCTCATCACTCGTGTCAACCCACCCTGGGCATGGGCAGCCTGGGCGGACCTCACACACGCAGCGGCAGCGTACGCAGCGCACCGAGACAGCCGATGCCGGACGCGATCGAGCTCGAGAGGCGGTTCACCAAAGTGCTGGTAAGTGGACAAAAACTACTTCTACCTATCTTTTTTCTGTTTCTTTCGTGCGTTTTAATAAACGATAAATTCGTATGTAATAAGTTATAAATTGAGTAAGACCTGGTGAGATCTGCTCTGCTCGGGAAATGTAGTCTCGTCATATCCGTATAGGAATTTGAAATTTTAAAATTATACACCATTGATAAAAATTATGCATAAAAAATTTTGATTGTTTTTAAATTATACATTATTTTTAATTATATACTAACGAGATTCATTCCGAATTAATATCGCCCGATGCAAGATATCTCTCCAAGTTGCTATTTTGAATGAATATTCACGCGCGCAACACTTGTTTCAATCAGATGAGGCTCATTAAAAAATTAGAAGATAACAATGATATAAAATATAAAATATAAAATAAATATAAAATATAAAATAAAATAATTATGCAAAATATGAACGATAAATAGAAATAAGTGTACATACGATAAATAAATAATAAATAAAAAATAAATAAAAATTATTTTGCATTCGCACGTAAATATCTAATAAATAATTGTGTTCAATTTTCGTATTTTATTTGCTTTTGTGTCTTTGACGATTCCAATGATCTCAGAAATATGATATAATACAACATGAATATTTGAATATTATTAATATAAAAGTTTTAAAGATCTGTTCGTTTAATATATAAACAAAAACAAAATGTATCGATATATTTATACAATAATTTTTCATTGATATATTTTTGAATTTAATTAAACTATATATTTGATAAATTTACTCTACAAATTCAGAAGATCGTTCTAAACTCATAAAAGGCCTTTTTAAAATTTTGTAAAATATTCTTTTTAAAAAGAAATCTGTTTCTATAATATTTGATAAAATTTTTAAATTTTAAATTTGCAAACATGTCCTGAGACTTGTCGAAATTTATATTACATTATTTCGTCCTACATTAGGTTTGTTCACGAATAAAAATAGCCAAGCTATCCACGTGACTGTTAATTGTCTCCGAATATTCCCGATGACCAATTAAGGCACGCAATCGACGCGTGTCTCGTGAATGAACGCACGACATAATGAACACACACCCTTCACAATATCATATTTCTTTGATCAGGACGTTCGAAAAGAATTTGAATCTAATTACACGAATCCACAATTTTATACAGGACGTTAATTACAAATAAATTCAATGAATTTAAAATTTAAAACTCTCTAAGTAAAGTTTTTTTTTAAATTGTCAATTAGCAATACCTTCCTGAAGATGATTATTTTATAGACATTTGTTGAGATTAAAAATCCTAGTTGTATCATATTCCACTTTTATAATCTATTTCATCGCACGAATAAGAAAGAAAATAAAACTATAAAAAAACATTTGGTTAGTGGCTTATCTGAGAACATTAAATCAAAATATATGCTTTATATGCTTCGATAAATTTATACTTTTATTTTTATTCTTTGAGATCATTAATAATAGCACTAATTACTTAAAAGTCTATATTTTATATAGGTAATTACTAGCCTGATACATTATATAAACAGCATTTTTTAAATAAAATTGTTAATTTTAGAAACACTATAATATTTTATAGATCGAATGATATTTATATTAGCAGATTTTATCGTACATCGTTGCAATCGTAAAAAATATGTTAAAAATTTTCTTTTTTATTTCATTTAGATTTGATAACTTTGGGAAATGAGATTTTAATTTAATTTCTTTCGCTTGTGCTACAATATTTTAATAAATTGAGTCGAAATAAAATTGTTTCATGTTACAAATATTCATTATCAACACTGATAATGATATGAAAATTAGATTTGATAAACAGTCAACTAAAATGCAGTCAATTAAAACAGTCAATTAAAATAATCAGCATATGTTTAAATTTCTGATAAATATTGATTGTTCACAACATGACACAAGCTCCATTGCATGTAAACTTCAATTTGGTTACACAATGATAAGTGAGAGATATGCAACGGATAGCATTTTTATTCAACTGCATATAAGTATGACATGAAAGCACAAAATCGTATTTATCCGCCTCGAGGTGTAATGTAATAAGCGGATTGGTATCAACATATGTGATGTGTAACTTATAGAATGACTGAATACCTGAACTTGGATAAACTCTGCTTGAGGATCACAATGTCTGCCTGCAACTATATCTTGTGTTTGCAAAGGCCCTTTATTTAATCTATATTATTGAATCAATATAGCATATCGATAATATTGATAAAATTAGATAGTGAATGTGTAACAAGAAGAAATAGAGAAAGAATTAAAAAGATTGATATAAAATTTAGTCATGATTCATGTATATATATTTTTTTAATTAATGTTTCTTATTCTTGATAATCGATAGTATGAAAACATGAAATATAGTTTGAAAAATGTAGAATTATATAAAATGTACAAAAAGAGAATATGAAGGTCAGTGGAGACACACAGACTACGAACAAATACAAATCATTAGTGTTGTCACAAACCCTGATTTTATACAATTAAATGTTTTTATTTGTGTCATGACACGCCCATTTACGGTCTCGTAATTCCACTGCCTCATTTTTACGCGTTATGATATAAATGCTATTTTTACAAAGTTGGTATTATGATTCACAGTGAAATAGATGATTAATTAGAGAAACTGACTACAATTTAAATTAAAAAAGTTATTATAGTTCCCTTTTTTTCTTTATGATTTTTATTCGAATTTAATCGTTTTATTTTTATTTTATTTAATCGTGTCACTTTTCATTATATTATGAATACATCACGATGGCGAATGAATACTACTGATAAATTTTATCAAATTCATATGAATTGACAAAATTTAATTAACATAACTTATGAAACTTGGGATATGAAACAGATGTACTCACTTTGAAGTATAGTAGATAATGATATTTGTACTTGTATTACTTTTAGATATATATTTATGTTTGAGATATATATCAAAAATATTCTTTATTAAGTGGTATATTTCCCTCACAATTGTTGTATTTATTTAAAAAGGTAATAATTTTTTATTTAAAAATATAAGCCATAAATATATAAATAATAAAATGTACATGTTTGTAATAAATGCTAGATTCGAATGAAAAATTAAAGAATTTATAATTTCAATTTTTGAAAAGATTTGAAAAGAATTATTGATAAATGAAAATATATAAAAATATAATTAATAAAATCTGTTTGAAAACATATTCTTTAATTTTGATAATTACACCTTATAGAGATTTTGTACGTTTATGATTATCATTGATTATGTAATGCCTGTCCATCATTGATAATGTAAGAAACTAATTATGAATAAGCCACAATTGTAGTTCATGTTTGATTAGTTCTGACAGTTTCGTCAGAATGAATTTTCAAATGAAAACACAAATGAATTATTATAACCTACATTTC